CTTTATAAAGAATATTAAAGCTAAGTATAGCATCTAGAATAATAACATATATAAATTTAATAAAATAAAGTTTATAATAGGCTAGATATTGTGAGAGGTATCAAGCAGGAAACACAGGTCACAGAGAGGGAATGCAGGATAGGGGGTAACGAGAGTAAACCTTAGGGTCAGAGGCAGAGGTACGGAGGCCGAGGAGCCTATATACCCCGTGCCAAGCCTAGGGTACTCAGGGGTTAGATAGCTGTAACATAACCGTAACAGATATCTACTAGAGTAGTTATTATAGGTTTAGAGAGATAAGAATAGCTAAAAGTAGTCTAGCTAGGTAACTAGAAGTAGACAACAGCTATCTAGGGCATTAATGCTAAAAGGTAAGCTATTTTACTTTTTATTATCTTTTAAGGTAGTAACTACTTTTTAAACTAGTATAAAAAAAATCTACTTTAAAATTAAGTTATTATAATCTTTAAGTATAGCTAGACTACTAATTAGCTTAGTTTAGACTAGTTAAAGCACTTTAACATGTATATAAAAAAGTGTATTATTAGTAGCTACTGTCTACTAGTTATTAACAGCTATAAAAGCTATAACTTACTTTATTTTTAATAATACTATAAAAATAATAAAATTATTACTATTTACATGCTTTTTTACTTATTACACTTTTTATAGCTACTTAATGTAGGTTGTTTTACTTTTTAAAAAAAAGTGTATAAGTGCTAAGCTAAAAACTTTATGCGTAACTAGATTACTTATATTATAAAAATAAAGTTCTTACTATGCTTTAAAATAGCTTATAATGCTATAATTACTTTTAGTAATATCTAAAAAAGGTTTTAAAGCGCTAGATTAGTTTTTTTTAACTTATAATAAGTTATAATAGGCCTTAATGTAAAGTTACACACTTTATTACTACTACTACTTATATATAATAAGCTCTAGTAGTTGTAAACCCTAAGTAATACTTTAGAACTTAGGTTATAATTAATGCTTATAAAAATAAAGATTTAGAAGCATATAAATAGTTTACTAACTTTTATAGTTAAGGTGTTTAAAAAGGTCTTAAAAAAGGTAGTAATAATTATGTATAAGCTAGTGTTAGTGTAATAGAAAATTACTAAGCTTTAAGTAGCTAATAAGGCTACTACACAACATAAATTATATAAAAGAAAGTATATTAAGGTAAAAAAGACCTTAATAATTTAGAAAAGCCTACGCTTAACAGCTCTAAAGAAGTTTAGAGCGCGCAGTAATAGAAAGAAGGTAAAGAAGCAGGTGTAAGCTAAAGTAGGTAAGCTATCCTAAAGGCGCTGCAGACAGTGTAATTAGACTAGGCATAACGCGCAAATGTGTAAGCAAGAAGCAGAAGTAGTATCTAAATAATATTCTAGGCTGTACTATACTATATAGTGCTAGAGCGGGTTATTATGGGCTATAATAGAGTTTGTTAGGGTGGGGTCTTGGCAAAAGTAAGCGACTCGGGTGTGTAAGCAACTCGCCCATGAAGTACGTTAGTTTATATAATAATTAAGAAGCTAGCAGAGAAAAGAATTAAAATGTAGGATCCTATAATTTTAGTTAACTTTTTGCCTTTAATATTATTCTTAAATTATAATTGCCTACAGACTTACTTATTATAAGCTAGATGTCCTAGTTCCTCTAGTGTAGCAGGCGTACAGCCTTATCCTAAAGATCTTTTTAAGCTAGCTTTTTTTACTAAACTAGAGTTGCTTATTACGCTAGTTCTTGTTAACTTACTTAATTAAGGTTCTTATTATTAGAGTTTTTAGTCTTCTTTTATAATAGCACGCTATCTAATAGTTTTTTAGCCTTTATAAAAAAGTACCTAGACAACTTTACTTTTAATAATAAAGTATTATTTACTATTAAGTAAAATAACATTTAGATAAAAAATAGAAAGTTAAAGCTAAAAAGGCTTAAATACTAAGTAAAGTATAAAAGCTAATTACATAGTAATTGTTAGTTATTCTAGATATAGCTTTATAAAGCTAATTTAGTGTATAATAATAAAAGAGACGCCTCTAGGATAAAGTTGTAGCTCTGTAGAAAGTGCTACACTAAGAGTAATTATAAAAAGGTAAAGAAAGTTAATAGTTACACTTATATTATCTACTACCTTAAGAAGGAGCACTAGATAGACATTAGTAGGGGAAGTAAGGGCACTTTTTTACTTAATAGGCTAAAAATCTTTTTAAGTCTATTTAAAGCAGTTTATAAAGTTATAGGCTTATTATATATTATTTTTAATAGTATTTAGCAGAAGAAAGCTTTATAAGTAGTAGTTATTAACTAAGTAATACTTTATAATATTTTTTTATATAGCATTATTAGTAGAACTTTAAGGCATTATTACTTAAAATAAAGCTAATTTTCTTGCTACTCTTTTAGTGTCTAACACTACATATTTGTCCTATATGCAGCAGGGATATACATAGCAGAAGTAGGAGATTTACATAATGCTAAAAATAGCTTAAAGTAAAATTATGTTAAGTGTTAATATATAAACTTTTTAAACTACTTCTTTTTTCTAGGTATAGTGTTACACTTTATTAGTAAGTATACTTTAGCTTATTAGTTTAGTGTTTTAGCATCTTTTATTAAACTAAACACTAACTAATAATACTATGTAAATGTTAACTACTAACACTATAACATCTTAATTAGCTTCTGCAACTTATATAGTAACTATACTAGAGTAAATTAAGTGCTAGAGATTATTAAAGTTATTAATAACTTTAAAATTTTATTAAAATTTTATTATTTAGTAGCTAATAATATGTTAAATAATAATAATAAGACTATCTTTACTCTTACTTAATATCTTAATATGCCTCTTACCTCTAAGCACTGTATACGCTGCGCTAGCTATATAATCTAGCTAGTAGTAAAAGCAGTTATTTATAGTAAAAAGATAAGCGCTTTTAAAGTAGAGCTTACTTAAGCAGCTTTTTAGAAATAATTTAACCTCTATTACTACTATAAAGTTGTTAAAAAACTTTATAATTTTATAAACATAGTGCTAGTATTATATAAATAATAAGAGGCTTTTATAACTTTTTAAGCTACTTTTAATAATAACAACCTTTTCTAGAGCTTTAGAACACTTAATCTTATATAAGACAGCAGTGTACGCTAGCACAGCATTTATTTTATACTCCTCTGCTATTTTAAGCTTAAGAACACTATTACTAAGTTTATACATAAGTAAAAAAGTACTAATAATAACTTTATAAACTTTACTATCTCTAGTAACTTTACTCTTACTAAGGTTATTACTAAAGATAAATAAAAAAAAGTTAATTACTTTTATAAGTTTTTTAAAGTTTTTTACTTTATAATAAAACGCTTTAAAGGTAACAGCTTTTATAGCTCTTTTTAAATGTCTATTATTAACTTATAACACCTTTATACTAAGCTTTTATATATAAGTAATAAACTTAAAGGTAAAAGTAATAATTACTACTTTAAATCTAGTATAGCATTTAGCATAGAGAAGTTACTTATATACTAAAAAAAGTTTATTATTAAGCTACTTATATTTTATTACTATATAGTAATAATTTTAAACTTTTAACTTTATCTTATTTAGTTTAAAGACTACTAAAGAAAGCACTTTATATAGCATAAAAAAGCTAAGGCTTTAATAAAGGCTATTTTTTAAAAGTATGTTAATGCAAAGGCTAAGGCTAAAGCTAATAATAATAATGTTACTTAAAAGCCTATATAACATAAGTTACTTAGTAGTAACTATTATAATAAAAGCTTTAAAAAGACTTTTTTTATTAACATAAGCCTTCTTACTAGTAGCTGCTTATATAAAAAGTAGTAAAAAATAACAGAGTTGCAGCAGTACTATAACAGCTACTATAAAAATGTTACTATAGCTAATAATAACAGCTCTTTATTTACTAACTCTTTTACTTAGTAGAAATAAGTTAAATAACTCTCTTACTTTACACTATATAAAATTACTTTTAACTTTTTATTTATTCTTTTTATAAGCTGTAATTATAAGAGGTTTTTTTTTAAAAGTAGAAAAACTATTACTTATAATAGAAATAAGCTTTTTAGTTTAATAATTAAGGCTTTCTAACTATAAAAAAACTAGCTCTAGTAAGGTTATATTTACAGTAAAATAGGGGACTTAGTAGACTATATACACTGTAACGTTTTATAAGCTGTTAAAACATAGAAGGATTATAAGCTATAACAGTTACGCCCTATAAGTAGATTTAAATTCTCCCTTTATGTTAAAACGTACTAACAAACTAAGAAGTTACAGCCTAAAAAACAGCGAGTTGAAACGTATTACGTACGGTTGGGAACGCTGCGCACGAGCCAACCGCTCACTACACTCGTAGGATCAAACTAAACAACGTGACTATCAATCAACTGTTCGGCGGATTTACCGGACTGTCTCTCATTCCGCTAACTTTCGACTGGATTTATGTGTCAAGCTATCTTGAGGATCCACTTCTTGCACCAGCACATGCCCACTTAAAACCCTTCTCGGATTGGTCATTTTTGTGCTTATAACGACAATTGGCATCTCCTACACTGGTTCCTGGTATTCCGAGTATCTTCCTATAAACACTTCGACTACATTCGGCAATAGGCAGAAAATCTACAACGTTCCTCGGATCCGCGGTTCAAACTTCTCATTTGACTCCACAAAGTACAAGGCATACTCCCTAATGTTTCTTACCCCAACCTTAGCGATCAACTACGGTGTCAGCTTTGGTGCTTTCACCGCTACGATCATTCATACTACTCTTTACCGTCGTCAAGAAATCTGTTATCGATTCAAAGCCGCCCGTTACCAGGAGCCCGATATTCATATGAAGATGATGGCAAAGTATGTGCCTTGTCCAGACTGGTGGTACGGGATTCTACTCGTAATCTCAGTCTCGTTTGGCCTTGCCACGGTTCTGGCCTATGACTCTCAGCTCCCTTAGTGGGCGTACTTTGTTTCGCTAATCATGGCTCTTGTGATCCTACTCCCATGCTGTATGATCTACGGCATCGCGAAGATTATGCTATCGTAAGTAGGGCCGACCTTTCAATAGACGAGAGCCCTCTAATCTATGTTTGATTAACGTTATATCACCGTTTATCGCCGGCTATATGATCCCGGGTAAACCAATTGGCGTTATGATATTCAAAGTATACAGCACGATCATTGTCGGCCAAGCGCAGTACTTTGCAGTGTGTCCAACCGTTAGTTACGGAGCCTTTTGGAGGCTGTATAGTACAGTTACGGAAGAGGAGGCTGTTACTAACTGTACGGAGGAGATGACGTCAGTGTACGGTTAGGATACAGTAACTGAAGTATATTGAAGTATTATGAAGTAATTGCGCTGAAGCTAAAGACTATACCTAATTAGGAAGTTGTGATACCCCTTGTGAGATCTACAGTTGTTAATCTCACTGTTTTAATGTACTCTGTAAGCTTAGTCAGCTTACTAGTAACAGCGTTGTTACGTAACTAATTCTTCTGCAGTTAAAGAGCCTCTATTGTCGACCGCGTCGTTGATTGGGATAGGAATTAGGACATCATAATGGGCAAAAGAATAACGTAGATGGCATAGTTGCTGAATTTGTTAGAAGATTGCTAACAAAACAGGCAATAACGGCATTCTCCGCATTAATCTCCGAACACGAGCCCCCTGGCCCTCAGCAACCTGCCTTCAACTGCCTAAAACCACCAAAAATCCTATATAACTACTGTAAACGGTTAGTACAGCAGCCTCATGTATAGTACAGTATACTGAGTAGATGCCCTGTACGTACGTACGTGACCAAAATCAGTGTACTGCAGTACTGTACTATTAGGTGTACTAACGGTTGGACACACTGGTACTTTGCTAGAGACCTAAAGCTAGCCCATTACATGAAGATTCCACCAAAGGTCACTTTTGCCTGCCAGATTGTAGCTGCAATTTTGGCTTGCTTTGTTCAGATAGCCGTTATGAACCGGACGCTTGGTGTCGCACGTGTCTCACGCGATACCATACCCATGTACTGCACTATTCACTCATTAGGACTAGCTCCTTTCTCGTACAGTATATAGTTAGCCCAGAGCTCTCTCTCGCTCCTTAGACCTTACAATCCACTTGTACAATCCACATTGTTTGGATCTCAACACCTTGTCGACTCGCTTACCATATGACCCCTTCTCAGCTCATGCAAGACTTGGCAATATCCCGGAAGTCTGCGATCGACTTCAGAAAGGTTTGTGCCTCTCTTGGCTGCAAGAACTACGCTAAATATGACTAAAAAGGGCATTTCACTTTTCCTAATGGGCGAGCGTTCTTTTCCAATTCTATTACCTGGGGCGTCATCGGTCCGCAGAGCATGTTTGGTCTAGGATCCACGTATAGCTCAATACACTTCTATTGGTTCATTAGAGCGATTCTCCCGGTTACCTTCTACACTCTTAATCGATATGCACCGAGGTCTCCAGCGAGGTATCTGCATGCTCCTGTAACGCTAGGCGCAATGGCCTGGCTCCTGCCTGCTACACCTTTAAGCTTCTCTTCTCGGGCGACCATCGGTTTCATATTTAATGTTTGGATCATGCGGCGGTGGCATGGTTGGTGGCATAATTATAACTATCTCACTACGGCTGGACTCGACTCCGGACTCACCATGTCGACTATTGTGGTTTTCTTTGCGATCAGCCTTCCGAATGTAACGCTTCCGGAGTGGTGGAGAAATGTTGTACCGTTCGAAATTATGGTAAGATTTAGAAAGAAATCAGTGAAATTGTCTGTCCTGGATGTTAATCTTCAATTGATAGGACTATCTTAACACCGCGATCCAGAAGACAGCTGCCAAGGGCCAGACCTTCGGACCCAGGGCCTGGTGATTAATCGTTTTAAGTGGAACTAAAGATACCATGCTCCCTCAGAGTCAGATCTAGATGCCGCGGCTAGTTCGATGAAGTGAGGTGCTGATTTGCTTGACCGTTCGCGTCATGCCGAGGAGCGGTAAACGCCTTTTGCCATCGGATCCATGAGTCCATCAACTTCGCAAACATTATCAATGACCCTTACACAAATGCTGGAGTTGAATGGAATTCTATCGGTGATAACTGTGGGAAATGGCGAATGATGTGAGGGCCATGTTTCAGCCGCCGTTCAGACGATATATAATAGCCTTTGTTCCGGAATAATGGTAGTCTCCATCAATACGCAGTCCCTTCCCTCTCGTGTTCAATCTTCTGATTTTTTTGGATGAACTCGGTTATCAAGCAGCTGTGTACCGTCAATCTATTCTTTCTAATCCCTTTCTCTCATCTCTCAAACTCAAATACAATGCCTTTCGATGCAAGAGAAGGCACAATTGATACAGTACATCACGCACTCTACTGCGGTTTATCGACATGGATTAATTGGAGCAGGGACTTTTTGGAGGGGCAATGTTTCTCGAATATTTCTATTCAGGCTGGAGACCTGTTCATCAGTAGTAACATTCTCCTCACCCAGCAATTATAATAGTCGAAGTCCCTTTGAATAATAGCTCCACATCACCATCATCAGACTATGTACGAGATTCAGTTCTTCCCTCGGGCGCTCTGCTATATGAAAAATTGGGTAATCCCTTTCGGGGAAGAGTGGAGGTTCTTCCTCACCTCGCTAGCTATCGCGCAGTCCTGCCGTTTTATTTTAGAGTAGGCCGGTAACTAATCTTGAATATATTGTTAAGAGATTGAAACCTTTTGTAGTTTTTCAGTTATCCTGCTTGTAGCGGATAAGTGGAAAGTTTGAGAGTAGAAGGGGTTTATGTACTCAAGGAAATAGTCGATATATCAAATTAGGCATCGTTTAGGCAGCTATCCCGCGAATAGTACTCTATGGGACTGATACTGATTTTAAACTTGAACTGTGTTGACGTGGTGATGCATTGGTAGTTGGATTCCTATTTCTACATAGACTTTATAGACACTTCCCCAGATCATAACCCTTTTCCATGTCCCTTCTCAACGCCACTAACCCTCTTTAACACTCACACCTTCTCAAATCTGCAATTTGTTCCCACTCTCTTCGTTCATCTAGCACTTCGGGCAATCATTACACTGCAAAAACCCATAACCCAAAGTTCCACACTCATTAATAAACGCTTCCTCTTCGGCCCCTGGGTTAACGCAACATCCTGTGAAGCCGCAGCCAGTAGTGCCGTAGACATGACCCAAGACATCGCAGGCTTTCTTGGAATGAGCTCTACCGCCCTTGCAGGCGCATTTACGGGCTGCGACAGTCATGCCGAGAGTAAGGATGATGAGGGCGGTGAGCTTCATGGCTGTTTCAGGGGTGGGAGCTTCTAGGGTTTCCGTCAGTAGATGGTAGGGATGGGTGGTGGTGGTGGTAGGGAAAGATGGGCTAACAAAATGATGGGATGGCGGGCGGTGGAAATATGAATTGATTTCTTTGAAGGTTTCGTTGCTTTAGTTCTGTCGGACTTCCTTGCTAAGACTCCTCAGAGTCAACATCCACCTCCCTTTATATCCATTCCCTGGTTATCACTTCCCCCTCACCGGTTGTCGAAATACCATGACTATCTAGGATAACCCAGCCTGGTCCGGGGCAAAATAGCGCTCATGTCGCCGAAGTCAATAACATCTTCATCACCGCAAGGCTCACTCCGCAACTGTGCCACCGGTTCATCCTCTCCCCCCTCCTTCAAAACGGCGACAAATGCGACGTACGAGGCGCAATTAAGCACCACGCCTCCCGGAACTCTAAAACAGCTTCTCCAGATCTCATGACTCGGGTTCGAGATCTCGCATTCTACACGAGCAACGCTGGGCACGTTGTTGAGGCTCCTGGAATAACGTGATGTTGTGCAGGGAATACGAAGACGGAGAGTGCAGAGTGGTGGAATTAGGGAGGCGGGGAGGATAGGGTTGTGGTTGGGTATGGAGTGGTTATATTAGGTGTGACGGGAGTGATCACACCATGTCAGGTTTGGGGAGGATTGTAACGGTTTGATACGAGATCTTCAGCCATGCAAGGGACGAGTGTAGATGGATCTGATAAATCATGAACTCCGGTTAGGTCTGGGGTATCGTCGCTAAAGACACTTCGTCAACAGGCCCTGAGGTCGGCTTGGACGAATTGGTTAAATATGTGCTTCCGCTTCCTCCGGTCTTCTTGCTTAGGCATTTTGCTTGATATCACCTCAATAAGTCAAGTGTGTGAAATCTTAGTATTGGCTACCTCTATGGCAGAGTACGTAATCCCAGGAGGAAAGTAAATTCAATGCAACGAATCAGCCCGCAGGTTGGAGTTCGGGGAGCGTGCCCCGGGAATCAAGTGCGTATTTCGGGGATGGGAAGGGGGGACTTGGTTCAGGTTGTGTATCTGCAGTCTCGGACGAGAGACTGATTGAACAACAAATATTTGTGGGGTGGCTAAGCGGAAGGGTGAATCGCCTAGTCACGTGATCTCTATAAACCCCGTTGCGGGTCGCTTTCCTCCTGCATGCGTCCTCAATAGCACACCGTTCATTGAAAACACCCTTCGAAAGCCTGTTCATAGATTACATGAACACTATTGATGGCTGACTATCGAACGCAGTTGATATGCGACTTAATTACGTGGAGCCGCATTCCCAGTATTTCTGCAACACATCCCTTACAGAACGCGTTAATGTTCTGTATATAATACTTCCATATCAATTTGTGGTTGATGCATCAATCAACTCGCTGAAGAGGAGGTGTAAATAAGAGAAAGACCTTCCGAAATAACAGCACCGAAAACGAGCTATACTAAATCATCGCCGTCCCCGGGATCAACGAAAGTACAAACAAACCAATCGATCGTAAGCTTCATCCTCAGGTATGTCACCTGGAAGTTCTCCAATTTCCCCATTTTCGCACAAAAAGGTCTTCAGCATCTCAGCCCGAAGCTTGAGATCCCCTGCCTCCTTCCTTTTGGCGCTGGAGAGCGGTACCTGTTTTTCAATAACGGCTGCCTTTAATCTAAGAGTTCTAGCGACGTGACCTTGCAAGTTGTGGTGCTCGGCAATTTTAATTGCTTTCTCGATATTTTCCCTGTTCAGATTAGGCCCCCTATTAATCCAGTAGTGATGAAGAAGCTACTTACAGTGCCTTGGAAAGTTTTCCGCGGTGGAATTGGACAATGGCGATTTTGTACAGGAAGGAACCCAACAGAATTCTGGTAGGATTGTCACTGGCGATAGCGGCACCCGCTTTAAAGCTTTTCTTTGCTCTCTGGAAATCCATCCGAGCTAGTTGAACATTCCCTATATCAAAGTGGTAGCTGTTTAATGCATTAGCATCTGCTAGGTTTATGTAAGGATCTAGCACATACTATGCCATCATAAAGGCTCCACCCGGGCCTAAGCTTGCCCAAAGCTTTCGGGCCTCCTCGTATTGGTTAATTGCGTCTTCAAATTCCCTCTTCAAGAAATGGACTCTGCCGATGCCCAAGCGCGAAAGCCCCTTATATTCTGGCTCCGTTTCTGGGTCTCTTTCTCCGATCTCGAAGCTTTTCAAGTGCATTTCCATGGCCTCTTTAAGTTCACCTACTGAGGCATGATAGTTGGCTATGTTACTGTAAGTATTGGCTAGGTCGGGGTGATCAGGATGTAGCAATTCCTCGCGAATGCGTAAACATGCGGAGAAGCTTTCCCAGCACGGGATATTCTGATTCATTTCGAAATGAATGCAACCCGCATTGTTGCATAGCTGAGAGTAAAGGAGTCCTTTTTTGTCCAGACATGCATCCTGGGCGATAGCGATCAGTTTCAGACTCTCGCTATTCTCGCTGATTTCCAAGAGATACCAGGCACAATTTTTCAGTACCTCGTCTAGATCTGGAGAGGAGCGAAGGCGTTGCCGTACTTCCTTTTGCCTAACAAATGTCTCGGCAAGAGAAAGGCAATGCGGAAGCCAGAGTGAGCATTCCTGCCAGTGGCCGTACAGGGACGTTGTACCACCCATTTTTGGGAATTTTGCATTCAGAAGAGTCGCTAAAGTGCTAAATGACTCTTGTCGAGAAAGCTTTCCGTATTTGCTAAAGTCATAGGCTTTCTGCACGAGGCGGTGAAGGGACAAGTTTAAGTTGTGTCGGTCCCCTTGTTTCTTGATCAGTGCCAGCTTAACGAGAAGATCTCGAGCATCCTCAAACCTGGTCAAAGTAAGATATGAGATGCACGAAAATAGTGGCAACTTACTCGCTCTCGTCTTTACACAAGCCGCCGTGGGCGTCTGGTAATGAGACATCATCCTCGACCTCAAACAGCTTACATGGAATGCTGTCCGGCGCAAGAAGAGATAGCAGACCAAGTAGCTGTAGTGCCGCCTTTCCAGGTATAGTTTTGCTCAAAGCGTCAAAATGCATCTCCCATAAAGTGGCAAGATGATGCTGAGTCAGGTCCTTCGTGAAGCCCTCAAACCTGTGCATTCGCCGCGACTGTTTCTCATATTCGTCAAGGTACTCTTCTAGGGATAATCCTTCATGAGCAATGTATGCCGCCATTTGTTCAATTGCCAATGCGTGGCCACCAAGTGTTTTCAACAAGTATTTTGTTGTGTCGAGCTCTGCTTTGAGGGATTCTGCATCGACATTTGCCTCTCGAGGTGTAGGATCGTATGATTCATATCTCAGCCTAAGTGAGTTGAATACGTTGAGGGCATCCTCATCGCTTAAAACGTCGAGTTCTAATCTTTTCTGACGGCCTGGAGCCTGGAGGGCCTGCTCCTTATAACGCGTGGTGATTACGATGTCGCCTCGATATGGTAGGAAATTCTGTTTGCACAACATCCGCATGTCATCCACGTTGTCGAATACACAAAGCCATGTCTTTGCTTTATGGAGTATTAGCCAAGACCACTGAGAAGTATCGGGATACCCATGTACCTGTTTTCCTAAGCCAGTTTTTAGTGTTTTGTACAAGATCATCTTCTTCGCCTTTTGGCAATTCCAGGCAACGAGCAATCTCCGCGAAGGACTCTCGCACGTCTGCTGCTTTTTGTGCCTTGACCCAAAATACTGCATCATATCTCTGCATTGTTAAGCATGACCCTATAAAGGCGTGAGCCAAGGCTGACTTTCCCACTCCACCGAGCCCAAAGATGCTGAAGCACCGCAGCTCATCCGTTGCAGTTTGATTTTGGAAAAACTGGCTCATTGCCATCAGTTCCTCTGTTCGGCAACGGAAATATGGATTCAACGACGGTAGTCCCGCTTTGCAAGGAAACTTAGCTTTGCTCTGGTCTTGGTCATCGTACAATGACGTTATATCTGGAGATGTATCTCTTCTCCTGGTTCTTGTGTCGGTAAGTTTGTCAACGATGCTGACGGATTCCTCCAGCCTCCTCAATGTGTCCTTAAACCTTTCGTTAAGTAATTGGAAGTTTTTTGGAGCTATCCTAGTGAGTTAGGCGAGGACTTCCCATTCTATGAGTACCTGTATGATCACTTACAGATGGGTGTACTTCTTAACCATCGGGCAGCTTCAGTCCAAAAATGAATCAGAGCAACAAACATGTCAACAAGCTCCTGGCGAATTGGTTTTACATCAGTCACTAACTCAAAGGATTTTGTGAATAGACGCAACTGTTGGCGGATCCTCCTTAGAATATCCACGGTAGCTTTCAAGGTGTCGTGCGAGGTAATTGCTCCCTAAGCCAAAGTGATTAGAGCATTATAAAAAATCTGAGGCAGACTTACTTTAATCACGAGGTGAAGCAAGCCCCAAAGTAAAGTTGTCTCAAACGGGTGGCTCGAGTCCAAGGATCTGATTGCCAGGGACGTTATGAACAACCCTGAAAAGGATTTAAGCGTTCGGAGGCAGGGCTGAATTTGAGCAATCAGACGGCTTGTAGTGTGGTCATTGTATTGCAATGCCATCCGATCAAGTGATTCAAGGAGCTGTTGAGGTGTTCTGAACTTCTGAATTTCGTCTCTTTCGTGTGTACGAAAATCTCCCGGCCAACACTGTTCTCGTGCCTCCTCCCATTGCGCGAGGAGGGCAATATCGCTTCTGTAGACTATGTCAGCCTCCACCATATAGAGGATTTCGTTGCCATACAACTGTCTCTCCAATGTGAAAGAGTTAGGTTCGGTGGCTGACATTGTTGCAATACCGCCAGCTACAAGTTCATCCTCGCTAATGCTCAGGCTTCCAAAAGATTGAACGCTAGGACCCCCACCCAGCGGTGGAGGAATGTGAGACATTCTAAAGTAAACTGGTCAAGTTGTTGCTATCTTCTAACGACGAACCGAGGCCAAAGTGATAACTGGTACCCAAGCATCTCCGCAGTCGAGGATATTGATAAGGGAATCTAAGGCGGGGTAATCCCCAGTTGGGAAGAGCGGTGTGTCAGCACGGGTCATCATGAAGCTCTATTTTCCAACAGAATACACGGAGCGGATTATTCAATAACTACGGCTTTAACGAATGTAGCAACAAACAGCATGAGTTTTTGATCAGCGTGACGCTAACATTTCGATAAATGAACAATCGCATTAGCATTAACCCATAATATTATTGGAAGGAGATGGCTTGTGTATTCCATCGGTTGGTCTAGAAAAGAATGTTGCCAAACACCAAGGGATTGACTAGTCACCCATGAAGAGGCCCATGTTTCCAACGAAATTAACCCCGCTAACAGTGGGAACCAAGAAAACATTGTTCAATTTAAGACCAAGCTTTGACTCCCATCCAGAGCTAATTATATTCGGACTATGGCAATAGGGTAATATCTAGTGAATTCTTTCAATCATCAGCAAACTATTATAAAGGCTTTTTGCGCTATCATAACACACCAGGTTTTCCCGGTACCCAGGTCCAAAATGAGGTCAACTGTGACCAGAACAGATTTCCATGCACGGCCAAATACATTCCAAGGCGCAGGCTGCCATTCCTCCTCGTGAGGCAGATCTAACGCCTTCCAAGGCTGAGCCTTGTCCTCGGCGGCTGGAAAACCACTACGGTCGACGGTACTCCATACCGTGTTCTCGGTGTGGGCTCCAACAGAAGGCGCTGTTGAGCCTTCTACAGTCTCTACAATGGAAGAGGCCTCTGACCGAGTATCGTGGTCCATTTTGCTAAGAGGACTAGGGGTTTGTAGTGATGTTTCTTCTATCTCAAAGTATTAGCTGGGATGTTCTAACTACTATCTAGTTTCACACTCACTACAGAAGTCTACCACTAGCTCTAGAGCCTGTTGGGTACAAGATATGGGGTGAAACGGTCTTTGCTGCAACGGAGAGAGATCTAAGTGTTGTGTCAAGTGAAAAGCGGGGGTAAAACCCAGCTGTAGATGGCGAGTGGTGTTGTGAACCTTGATTAATGATGTCTTTTGTCGGTCCAATCGCCAACCCCGTGCATTTAGAGATGGCGCTGTTCCCCGACTCAAGTCTTCATGCAATCGTCGCACGAGCCTGGGCAAACAGCAAATCAAAGAACGTGATGAAAAAGGGCGCAACACGCACTGATCATCTGATGTCAACGTCTGCAGCGCAGAAAAAGCAATACCGTCTAGTTTTATGCCAAACCAAACTTCTATGTTACATATATAATACAGGAAGCCACGAAATCTGAAAACAACCTAATATCACGTAAAGCGCAATCATTGAACCCGTATACTAATCTCATGGCCGTAGCTGAACCAGACCCCAATCAAATTGATATATCTCGCATGTAATGCTTCCCAAGCATGGAGATAAATTATCTGTAGGAAAACCGCCAGTATCTACTTAGCCTCAGTTATAACCGTGGAACGAGTTTCAATGCTCCTGCGACGAGCAGCTGTCTGAGGTGCAAGTGGGTTGTGAAACGAAGCATGAGGGCAGTCTGGAAGGACAAGAAGTGAGCTTCATATTCATTCATTCAAAGAGATGGGTCTAACATCTTGCATTGCCATTTGCCTGAGTGTCAAACATTACCATCAGAGTCAGCTCTGATGGTGTTTGGTTTGAGAGGTAGTAAAAACGTTGCTCCTTGTTGTGCTGTACCAGATAGTTCTGCTGTCGTTGATGGGGAAATATGCGATCTGTCGCAACCAAGGCATTTCCGTTTACTGAACGGTAGTCGCACATGGCTAGTGGCCTGTCTTCCACTTTGTCATTGAGAGGTCTCCAAGTACTGTGCACGTAAGCTGGGAACCCGTGAATATGTAGGGACCACTTACTTTACGATTCGAATACGGTAGCCAGGTTTCAAGTATCGACTTTTGTCATCCTCGCTCAAATATGACTCAATGACAGGTGGTGAAGACTCAAATGTGCTATCTAGTGCACCTCTTAAGAATATACTATGGCGCAGGACGGACGGACTCACCGACTAGATTCAAGTTAGCATTCAGGAGCTAGAGAGCAATGTAGATCCTACCATGGACACCACGGGGCAAGGTCTGTACCAGCATTGGATCATTGATATCCACAGTCTTAGAGTCGTAGCCCCCACTTCTCCTAAGCTTGGTGTATGTCAAGACGAGCAAAAGGTTTGAGTGTAGGATACTCACCGTCTGATTCCAGCATTTGACGTATACTGCCCCAAAATGTTTCGAAAGCAATGCCTCAGTCTCTTTCCCATAGGCTTCAAGTGATGGAAGCTTGTCGAACGTTAGGTTCTTGGGTTCGTCGTGAAGAATCTCAAAACCAGCAACGTCGAGCGAGAAGTTTTCGCCTTCTTCTCTCAGATCCCGTATCAAAACGTCTCGGCTGTGAAGCTTTATATTCGACAAGTGTGCGGGGTTGATATTTGGATAGTCAGGGGATGGAATAACCTGATATGGCGCCTCTGTCTTGTAAAGTGGTAGATCGAGCAGGAATTCAAGAGTAGTTGCGATAGAACCCATATTCAGCGAACGATTATCTTATAAGCCAGAGCACTGAGTGAGCAAAAAAAAAGTGGAAGAAGCCTTAGAGATTGAGGAGAATTAAAATTACGAGGGGACATGCACCTGTACCTGAAGCTAAGGCAAAAGCACTCTAGCAGCACGGACCGTACTGGCCGCGTCCCGCGTTCCGAGCCGCCCTTGGCAGAGAACGCTCACGGGATGCCTATGCACTTATTCTGCGGTGTACCAAATCCGGAGTCTTGTTCCCAAATCCTACCCCAAAAGCGGGGTCTTAGAGAGAATCCTTTGATTGGCATCCTGGAAAGCACCAATCTCGCCTTTCAGCACGGACTTGCTTATCTTGCATCAGGTGGACGAGGTACTTCCCTCCTGTAACCTTGCAAAGCGCTGCTCTTCCTCGCGATCATGAGGTTCCTCTTCTCCCCAAGCCTGGTTCTTGTGCTGACACATCGAATCTCGCATGTATCCACATCCCACTTTCCGAGAAATGCCTTCTCACAGGCATCCTGTCCCACTTTCTTTTCAAGAAACTCTCCCGTTGAATTCCCCATTCTTCGAAATCAGGTGGGGCAGAGAGTTTCACTCAATGCCATGACGCCAGTTGACCTTTTGACAGTCTCGGCCGAGGAGCTGTCATCCCTTTTGGATTCTAAGGTGTTAACAACCGAAGGACTCGTAGAGGATTACTTTGCCCAGATCGACCGGCACAATCATGATGGAATGAATATTAGAGCGGTCATTTCTGCTGCACCTCGTGAGTCTACTCTGCAACTTGCCCGCCAACTGGACAAGGAGCGTGAAGAAATCGGTGCGCGAGGGCCACTACATGGGATTCCAGTGCTCGTTAAGGTCGGTTCTTCGTAAGCGAAGATGTCGCATAACTGATTTTCTAGGATGTTTTCTTCACGCCGAGCCTGGGAATGCCTACAACGTTAGGCTCTGCTGCTTTCATAGATGCAATAGCACCTCGAGATGCGGATATCGTAAGCCGTTTGCTAAAGGCCGGAGCCATTATCATTGGAAAGGCTAATCTTTCGGTATATGTATCCGGAACCTCCACAGACTACCAGAAGCATTAACCTAGAGTACAGGAACTCGGAGCTATGAAAGGAGAAGGCCTCAAGGCCGGGTGGTCAGTAACCGGTGGACAAGTTAGTTGGTCTTCTCCACCCCAGTCACTCTTGTCCTAACATTTTGTGGAGACGCAGTCACCATATGTGCGCGGCGGTATAACACCTAATGCTACAATGCTGGGTCACAGTGTAAGGATATCAGATTCTCTGGCGAATATGTGAGTCTGGCTGATAGAAGAAAGACTCCTGCGGGCTCTTCTGCGGGTTCTGCGGCTGGTATAGCCGCGGGATTTGCTGCGCTCGGTGTTAGCACCGAAACAGATGGGTCTACTGTACAGCCAGCTACTCGGGCAGCTCTTTACGGATTAAAAGCGACCCTAGGAAGTGCGCCGACATGGGGGAGCCAGCCAATTACTCCCATATTTGACTCCATAGGTGGTATGGCAAAGACGCCCTCAGACCTTGCCAACCTCATGGAAGTCCTTCAAGAGAAACGTTACGCCGAGTTCCTAACTAAATCATGGGAAGGACTCAAGATAGGGTTCGTGGATCCGGCGCTCTGGCAGCCAGCGCCATTTGTCGTCGAGCCGGTTCCAGAGTTTACAGCGCAGAGTGTAAGTAACCAAGGTATACGTCACCATTTTTGTGAGCTGACTTGAAGGTAGAATGAAGCCTTTGCTTCCGCTGTGGAAAGGATTCGGGGAAAGGGGGCGAAGGTAGTAGAAAACGTGCCCTTAATCACCCTCCCAGAGGTGTTTGAAAATGGAGTTGAGGGAGTTTTCGATACAGACTCATTGATGGGTAAGGCCGCCACTTCCGCTACGTTGACAGACCATTTCTCCCTATGACTAACTTTCCGGCCTAGATGGTGACATGAGAAGGGCGTTTGGGGACTTCTTGGCCGAATTCGAAGGCTTTGAGATAAAAACACTCGCGGATCTTGTGAAGTGGAACGAGGACCACGCAGAAGTAGAGCTTCCGCCAGGTATGCATATGATTCGTTGGTTTGCCGCGGGTCTAACATATTGACAGAGGCTCCAAGCCAGAGTTATCTCATCGACGCCCTAAACAATAAAATGACCCAGGAAACTTTCAACGCTGGCGTAGAGCATATGCGCAGGCGGTCGAGGGAGAAGATATTACAAACTTTAGGCGAGTTTGACGTTGATGTCATACTTGGCCCTGCCGATGCTCGTATGGCAAGTGTTGCTGCTTGTGCCGGGTATCCTATTGCGACCGTTCCCCTCGGTTTCGCCGAATTCAATGGCAGGGCCTTTGGATTGAATATAATTGCGCCTTCAAATGCAGAAGGAAAGATCTTACAGGTGATGAGCGCCTGGGAAGGAACTATTCCCGAGGGAAGAGCACCACCTCCTTTGTTGGTGAACTGGACGTCCGGGGACTCTCAGAGTCCCCATCCTTAGGGAACGAGGCTTTAGCACAGCCAAGTTCTAATACATATCATGCAAGAACGTTGTTCGGCTTCTATTCATGTCCACCATCTTGACCTGATTTAGGCTGTTTACTACTCTCTCGATAATCCCAACGGTGAGTACTCCTTCTATGTGTTCGCATTTTGTCCCCAAGCTATAGCAGCAACCTGAGCACCACCCAACCCAATCTGAACAAGCGCCAGCACTATACTAACAACGCCAAATAGAATGACAGCAAACAGACCCCAAAACCGCGCTGGGTCCCTTCGGTCGCGCCAGAGGCTTGTCCAACCTGTGGGCTGCTGAGTGATCACATACTCTTGAAGGTTTACTAGTCTAGCCATAAAAAAAGGAAAATCGATAGAGGCAGAGTACACTGATCGTACGTTGGGAATGTCTAGTTCTTCGTACACCATCTGTTTTGACCAATCTTCTTGACAGAGATGAAGTAGTAAGGGATCACTACGTAGCTTGCACTGATCATCAGCAGACATGCGGTCGAAATCTTTTCTAAAAACTCGTCGAGATGGTTTGTCTTGGCCAAAGAAGAGTCGATATGTAGACATTATCTCCCTTAGGAATGTTCCAGAAGAGGGAATAGGCAACGTGAGATAGCCGTTTTCTGCCGATGGGGCAAACATCAAGTCGCTACAATAATCGTGGATAAGTCTAACATATCGTTAGCGGAGAAATTGTGTCAGGTTTTAGCACCGACCGGCACAGAAAGGTTTTCTCGGGGTCTCCTCGACACAGTAAAGCGCAGAACGACGGAAACCGAAACAGTTTGAGAGCCCTCTGCTTTCGATCAAATTCTAGGTGTTCGCCAATAGAATCTACCCAATCTATTTTAATCTCAGCCAGTCTTGTGAGGTTGTAGTAGGATATATGAGCTGCTCGTAAAGCATCTTGTTCACTGAAGGCAGCAATATGAGAGCTAAGGTGCGGACGTGAAATCGGTCCGCTTGCGTTCGAGTCGCTCACATTTCCCAGCGTGACGAGAAGCTCGGTTACAGTCTTCTCCCCTTGTACTTCTATCTCTGACGAAATCCATACTTTGTCCCTAGATGGCCGTGTTGTTACTGACGCCGGATCAATCTGGAACTTGTCCGGAGAGGGGGTCACCACAGGGCTGAATATCTGGGTGAGAAGGCCAACCGCAATAAAGAGTAGCTGGAGATTGGAGCCTTTTGTCCCTTCACAGTTTGAGATATAACCTTCTTCCTGCAGCTCCACGACCATATCTTCCAGTGTGATATTTGATTTGTCACACAGCTGTCTAGCCACATTTGCTAGTATAGAGCAAAAGAGGTCAAACTTTGTCCTGGGGGGTGCTGAAATGATGTCCTTTTTCAGATGGTCTGACATTCGATCGAAGGCATTACGAAGGAATCCTACATACCACTTGTAGGGCGCATTCGTTGCTTCGTCTATCTCAGATCCACAGATTGCCCGGCCGAGGTCATCGCTGAGATTTTTTGGGCTGACATCTTGTGGTAAAGGGTAAGCGACTGCTTGATGAACTATTATATTCAAGGGGAGTCTACTAAAACGAACCGTCTAGGTCAATGTCAGTCTCGCTTCCGTTGATGTTCTCCTAACGTATAATTAGCATTCGCTCCTTGATTTATGCTTTAACACCTACCATCTTGACAACCAAAGAAATATCTCAAACTAAGGTTTCAATCGCCTATTTCTTCTACGAGATCGTAATGGAGGAATGAAGTATAGCTTTGAACTTTGTGTAAAGAGTCTCTAGAGTTGAAGGACTTTGCAATCGGAGTGGGAGGAGAACTACCAGAATAAGAGCAGATCATTTCATGCTTGATGGGGACGTGGGCGCTTCCCTTGCTTCGTAGCCGCCGAGTTTGTAGTCCTGCGTGCCAGCTATCCTTTGATCTGCGATCGCTCGTATTTCTGAAACATGGCACATTCCCACACACGACCGGACACTCGACGCCACATCTTCACAGTAGAACATTGGAAACCAATTCAGCGCGGGGGGCTTGTTCGCACGGCTCACCGAAGTCCAACCATGCAAAAGGATGCATCTTTTGCAGAGACCCGAACAAGCCTTCTGACACCCCACTCAGCCATTCTTCGTCAGATAACAATGGATACACGATCAGTAGCGCCTAAGGTGCTCATCGCAATTATCGGTGCAGGTCTCTCTGGTATTGCGATGGCAGTGCAGCTGAAACGCAAACTCGGAATAAATGACTTCGTCATATACGACCAAGCCTCGAGCATTGGCGGTACCTGGCAGGCAAACAAATGTGAGCGTTAAAGCAAACCCTTAAAATGTTCGTACATGTATTCATTCCAATAGACCCAGGTTGTGCTGTGGATGTCCCAGGGCCGGCTTACAGCTTTTCCTTTGCCCCAAATCCCAAATATACCAAATGGTTCCCAAGTCAGAAAGATATCCTAGATTACATCAACGGCGTTGCCAAATCATACGGGATAAATCATCATGTGAGCCTAGGAACATGTCTTGCGAAAGGATATTGGGATGAAGCCAAACGATCTTGGTTGTTGAAGCTTAAAAATCTACAGACTGGGGAGAGCTTCACCCAAGAATGTTCAATTCTGATCTCCGCAACGGGAAACTTGTCGCAACCGCACCATGGAAGGATTAGTGATATGGAAATTTTCCGCGGGAGAGTAGTGCACACTAGCGAGTGGAACGAAAGTGTGGACTTGGATGGCAAAAGGGTAGCTGTTGTCGGGAACGGATGTGAGTAGCTCTTTCGTTCACAATACTAGCCTAGGCTAATTTAAAGCAGGTTCGTCGGCCCAGCTGGTTCCCGCCATCGCCGGAAGATCACATTCGGTATACCAGTTCATGAGAACACCGCAGACGTACGTTCCCAGCATGAATCCAAGAGTTCACCCTCTTCTTAAATTTATATTCGTTCATGCGCCTTTGCTCCTTTGCTTCTGCCGATGGATTATTCTTATGACGGGGGACTTGCTTTTCCAAGAGTACCGCATAAGCCAGTTTGGGGACAGAGCAAGGAGGGCATCCGAGAGGAGGAGTCTTGAGTATGTGAAGAAGACTGCGCCCATGGAATACTGGCCTCTGTTGTTGCCATCTTACCCCAAGGGATGTAAACGAGTAGTTCGAGATCACGGATACCTGGCATGTTTACGCCAACCTAATGTCCATGTTATCGGGGAAGCGATCGAGTCGTTGTGCGAAACCGGCGCATTCACCAAGTCAGGGAAATACTTTCCAGTGGATATCGTTGTGAGTACCTGCGAAACGCTATGCTATCACTGTTTACTGACGCTCTGACTTTGAAGATATTGGCGACCGGATTTGATACTTCGCGGCCTCATTTCAAGCTCACTGGGCGAGAAGGAACCACCCTTACCGAGCATTGGGAAGGATTCGGCGCAAAGGAGGCCTATAAATCCGTTGCAGTGTCCGGATTCCCAAACTTTTTTATGATCTATGGACCAAACGGTGCCTTCGCGCATACATCGGCCCTCGTGGCCATAGAAGCATCTGTCAACCTGATTCTCAATGTAGCACAGCCAGTGGTTCAAAAACAAAGGAGCACAGTTGAGATCAGCTTAGAGCGAGAGAGAGCATACTACCAAAGGACAAGGCAGGGGCTTCGAGACACCATTTGGGAGAATTGCCAGAGTTACTACAAGGACTCGTCGGGGCATAACGTATTCTTGTACCCTTGGAGTGCGGCGTGGTTTTATCTTCACATGGCCTTTGAGCGGAGAAGCTCTTGGCAATACTCCTAAAAAGTCGAGACAACCGCCGGGGCTATAGGGAAGGACAGTTACGCGAACATGTTTATTGTCAACTGGCCTGTAGTACTAAGGTGCCCGTATGTTTCCAGGGAGCGCGAGTGAACGATATCCTTATCGACCTGATGAAACAAAACTGAAGCCGTGGCAGAGTTGGATCACGAGGAGCCAAGCCGCTATGCCGCAAACCAACTTAGCGCCACTGTAGCTTTCACGGACACAGATCCACCGCCGCCCAAATCCCCCTCTGATCTTGTTGCCTCTGCATCGCGACTAATTTCTATTCCCGTATATCTCGTGACTCGAATTCAGCTCGCTTGCCCACGCAATTGAACGCGTCAAACCCAGGCAGCTACCATGGCTTGACAGGCTGCAGCATTCACCCCTCACAGCTATAAACTTGCCCCCATTCCAGTGTTGTACCACTAATCACACATCTCACCACAGCAATTAGGATATTACGTCATCATGAGTCTGTCTCCAGTCGAGCAACTGCCTCTCGAACTCCTCCAAGACATCTTTCTCCAATCCGGGCCAAACCTCGCGCTCCCCGCCGCATCCCACCACATCGCCGCCAAGCTCTCCAACGACTACTGCTACCATGCCACATGCACAGAATACCTCACCCAAAATCTCGACTCACGAGTGGAGCAGTCCCGAGCCCAGACGCGCATCTTCTCATACAAATGGATGACATGGGAATACTTCCAAGCATTCGTGAATAAGACCTACGCGAGTTGCGGGTGTCTGTGTGGCAAGACACAAGACGAAGGCTGCTTCGACCCCATCTGGCCTCCAGACTTCCAAGATGCAACCAACATGGTCTTCAGCCGAAGCCATCTACCTGCTCTGTCGTTCATCAAGTGTCGTCTCCCCGTTAAGCTGCTTCATGGACCGTGGGAAAGGTCGAAAATTCACTTCCTTCGATTCTTGCTCTGGACAACCTCCATGACGGTGGACTGGGGCAACCACGACGCTCGGAAGCTTGCTCTCGAAGGAAAGAAGCAGGCTATACTTGACCGGAATCTAGAGGTGGTGGAGCTCTTCAATCACAATCGTCGGCTTGGCAAGGCCCCTGGCCTCGACATGGTGCGCTTCACCGTTATTCAAGGCGGGTGTGACCGGTCCATTGTCTACGACACCATGTCCACTGCACGCACTTGGGGTTTGAGGGGAGATGGGTGGAGGGATTTGAAGTTGGATCAGTGGTGCAAGCAGAAGATCGCAGAGGGCGATCCGAAAGGAAAATGGCTGAAACTGAAATTAGAAGAACTGAGGACAACCCATGGTCCTGTAGGAATTGCAGAGAATGGAGGCGAGACGGAGCCACGAGCCATCTTTGGTTACATGCATCCGAAGTCTGGGGATTATGATAACGTGGAGGGTGATAAGCTAGTCATCACACCACATAAGTGGAATCAGGTAAGCACGTTAGAGTTTCGTACTGCTCGAACCAGGGACTGGTGAAATATATACATTTGCCATTGGATTCGGCAGCAAATTGTGGCATGGGGTCAATGAAGGTAAAAAATTTCAATTTCTGCGACTCTTGGCCAAAGCACCCTTCCTGAGCGATGGCTAGACATCTGGAGATCGAGTTCTAATGGTGTTTCCTTGCAAAATGCTCATATGAGCGGCATTCACCTTGTACCCGACGGATGGCTGGTTGACCGTCTTGAATTGTTGTTCCATGAGTCATGTAACTGATCGGCCTCCACTCAAGATGAGCCTGCATCAGGGTTGGTTCGAGCACAATCGCGGGTTCTGTATTGGCACGCATTTCGTCGTCGCCCCAGTACGCAACCCATTGGGTCGCCCAGACATTCCATCCTTTCCTGACAAGCCCGTAGAGGGCTATGTGAGGCACAAGATTAGGGGAAAGACGCGGCGCGCTCGAGTCTGGCGTACTGCGGGCTGGGGTCCTGGAATCCGGCGATATGCGCTTGTTATGGATATTCCCGTCTCCTTAAATGGGTTCGTCTTAATCTCTCCCTGACCTCCCTCATTATCTATCTACATAGATCTCAAATCCCACCTTCTCCATGAACCTTTGGGCTAACCTCTCTATTTGTTGAAGTTGTGCGCCGAGGGTGGGTTATAATCAGCAGGATATGGGACATTGAGCCGGCCTATTGGAGCCTTCATCACCTCATCACATGGAGGGCTGAACGGCCCTATTCTGGTCGGCTACCGGATGGCATCCCTATGGTTCCCGACGTGCCAGTCTATGTTTACATGAGACACGCTTGGGAAGCCAGGATAACGGGTGGATTTTGGAGTCACCTGGCTCCAAGCAGTCGTCGGTGAAAGGCTATCCAGCGTTTTGATGCTTTCTAGGATTGGTAGGCGCACCGAGCTGATATTTTTTGCAAAGGGACTTGACTACCGCGGCTGGTTCATAATCAACGGCTTGAAGACCTACGTCCAAGGCATTCACCTGGTTAAATCATTCAGCCGGGATTTGGTTCCACCTAGGCATGCCCGGGAGTCTGACTGCTCCTTTCCTTCGCCTGATCCTATAGCTGGTTACACGAGGCGGATGACTATGACTCGGGCCCGGAACTATCTCACATGGAGACTCCCCAATATTCTTATGGATGTGCCTGTTTCCATACGAATATAAGCATATGACCGTCTCATTCGCTGCCACCTCAGCAGAATTGGCTAATTCCGACCTTCAAGCCAACATCTTCTTTCCCCCAAGGACTGCGGGCACCAAAACTGATTCCACGTCAACATCGCAGGAACGATCATCAGCGGTATGCACTGTGTCAGGTCATTTTATCTTCGTATGCTAATCACCGACTGCTACAGGGAATCCGACGTACCGTTTACAACGCGGCAACCGAGACATGGCTCCATTTGACGGGTGACTGTGCTATGACATTGGCGCATGTATATGAACATTGCAGTCTCTCAGAGACCCCTACAGAGATAGCTACTCGGGTCCAAATCGTCGTCATTTCGCCCAGTGAGCTAGATATATTGACAGTTTCCGGATGTTTTTATGAAGTCGCCAGTTTCTAGAAGATCATGAGTTGCAGCAAAGATGGCTCAAACTATCCCTGGGCCTCCCTCTTCAGGCTATACATGACATATTTTCACCCTCTAAGGTGGGGGATCCGTCTGGAACGCCAGTTGCGGATTGGATATTCCTACATCAGAGTTTCCGAAATCTTCTCGGCTGATCCGTTGTGCGGAAAGTGTTCGACATATCCTAGATATGGAGGACCGTGATCTATTCCTGGTGCCACGCCACGCTCCCGCGGAGAAGTCTCAGGAAACGTCAGAGCCGATTTCTAATAAATTACTCCACTGGCGACAAGTACTGATTCACAATTTTCAGCCACTCCTTCGACAGGGCCGGGCATTTTGAAACCTGTTCGTTACGTAGCCCCTGCTAGAGCCTACGAACAGTTTGAAATTTGACGAAATCGACGGAATTTCTAACGCGAAGTACGTTTCCGTCGCTTAAGAACAGTGTTAGATACAGAAAGTACGAAGTTTTCGCGACTATTAGAGTCCTCACAGTCGAGTAGAGCAGCCTCGAGGATGATTAGGCGACATTGCGACTTTATTCGTAGAGTAGGGATATGCGTTTTGCGAACAACCTTACCTTTGTCGAACCCTTTTATGGTCAGCGCGTGCTAATCAAAGCTCTGTCTGTGTTGAGGAGGTGGAACGCGGTGGTATTAGACCTGCCCCATATTTATCTACGCAGTTGTTATTATTCCTTCCTGAGTTTGTCGAGTGCTGATATCCACGCATCAGCCACTCCGATCCTCGGGCTGGGAAATTGAGAGATATCGCGCACTAAGATATCCGAGTGCGATGATTGGCGTGAGAGGGTGGGTCCGGGGTATGAAAAACATGTTAGGAAGGGGGCGATTATGACAAGAGGGGGAATAATGATGTTGCGAATCGCCACGTATGGGCCGTTTCTAAGTGGTAGACGGGCAGAAGGGTCTTGCTGGCGATGGGTGAACGATTCGATCTTCGGCCCAAACGAGTCGCCAGTGAGTTAGCAGGCTTGTTTTTTCCGAACTATGTCTTTTCCGACACTATCCATCACTAGTTTCGACTCTACTGCTAACACAATCGTAGCTAGCCCTTGCGTCGAATACCCGAGTAGGATATCTTATTCCCCCACGAAAATACTTGCAAACGCCACAAAAATGTTCTTACACGATCAAAAATTCCATGGATCATTCATTTCCTTTCTATTTCTCGCGCTGATTCCCATTACAGCCACTCCGGGCTGGAAAACAGTGGGCCACCACCGTGCTAGACCCTGTCGTCTACTGGTACCTAGTGCCTGTCGCGCAAATGCGAGTCCTAGGTACCGTAATAATTTTACAGATGGGTTCGACGGAAATGGGTTGAATGGGTTGGTGTTGAGGGTGGATAGATGCGTGGCGGTTTCCGGGGGATAGATGAGATGGGGAGGGAGGTGGGGAGGATTGAGGTGTTCAACAAATATTGTTTTGGTATTTGTTAATATCGACAGAGATAGTTGGCCAGGATATATCCAGTCTATCCCTCATTCTCTTTTTCCTTGAATTCTTTCGCCAAATCTCCGTCGGCATTTCCAGAGAAGACATGAAAATCCCGACAATATCCAGTTCAACGAAATTTAGCCTCGGGCAAGAGATCAAAGCCAATTTAGCTAATCAACTCAGTCTGAACATACTCCTAGTCCACCTATACGCCCTACCAAGCCTCTTTCCAATTTGTCTCGCCTTTACTAAAGGTATCTTGTGCGTGTGGTGAGGCTCGTGAAACTGAATACTCCTCTCTACATATAATCCGTGGGGCATGAAGTTCGAAGCAGAGGCATGCAACTTCTCAACTGAGAAGCCTACTGATATCATCGCATGCAGGAAGTCTCGCCAAAGAACCTCGCCAGGGATATCTAGGCTCAGCGGAGAGTGAAAGAGAGCTTTGAAAACCTTATACGCGCGCCTGTCAACTGTGAAGACGGGCTCTTGTTCAACGGCATCCTGGGGAAGGGGCTCGGCAGGCCCTGGGCTATCAACTGTGGTTAAAGGTTCACCGCGAGTCTTTGGTTTTGGTTTGTCGGCATAGTGACCCTACGGAAAGGACTAGTGATCTCTTTGGAGCGATCGCGATAAACTGGCGAGAACGGTTGGTAGATATATTCTAATTGCCCTGGGGTCTCTTTGTTCTTCACGGTGTCAACCCACCGAGGTGTTCGCTGAATACTACGTTCTTGCGCAAGTAGATGAGCGATCATGTCGTGCTGAGAGCTTACTCCCTTCGTTTTGTAATAGCAATCGATGGCGTTCCAAAACTCATCGAGATGAGCTTCAGCTTTGCGCATGGTGTTCACATTCTGCTTATTACGTCGCTTGTTGGTTGGGTAGGCGAACTTCCTATCACTAGGGTCTGCCAGCCGGTAGAGATTAGACTGCTCGAACTTAGTGTTCAGTATTCCGATCCAACCGCTGAAGGTTTGTTTGTAGCTTTGGTGAAGTTCATCCTTCTTAAGATCTATATCATCTTCAATACTGAGAGCCCTGGCTGGTAGAGGTACAGTTGGTGAAGACTCTCAGAGATCATCGACAGCTGAGAGATTCTGCCCGCGACCCAGGGCGAAACAAGTGCTTTGACTTCCTGGTCGATTTCCATCAGTCGTCCTATCTCGTCCGTTACGGTATGCAAGCCAAAGAGAAAGAGTTAGTATTCATTCCAAAGGATCTAGAGCAAGGTCATGAGACGTTTGGTGGGATGGTGGGCACTCGGGGGCTTGTAAGAAACCAGCATTCTTGTCGTATGCGGATCCTGTGGCTTTCTCGAGCAGAAAGGTCGTATTGGGGGCGATGGTAGCACGCCAATCTGCAGCTGTTGAATGACATCTTTGGACGCAGCTTCGAGTAGGAAGCGAGGGTTTTGGAAGGCGTTCATGTATTCGGGTGGCAAAGCCTGGTGCAGTCGGATCTGGTCCTTGTACTTCTCCCCAAGAGCCTCGAGAGCGATGACTTGCTTACGGATCTCGTCAAATGTCGCAAATCCGAAGTACGCATGGCCTATGACGTTTCCCAGAACGCGGTTCCAAAACACAGGACGCCCAGAATCTATAAGGGAAGGATGTTTTTGATCAAATTCATCAACGATCATCTCTTGACGGTGTTCCACGTAATCTCGCATGACATCGGCGAAATAGTTTGAATCTTCGCGGAGAGCCCACAAGTGATCTTCCATCGTATTTCGCTCAGCAGAAGCAACGCCCTTTAACCAAGTGAAATCTAGATGCGTAGGGATACGGTAGGGTGCTTCTAGCGCTACAAGGGCGAGGACGTGACGCTAGTGTCCTGTCTGAATAATGGCTCTGGCTTGGGTTGGACCTCTCTGCTAAACAGAGACTCGGCTGAGATATCGTGTAGAATCTGCTTGCAGCAATTGAGAAGTGTCGCGTATACTGAGAGCCTTGGCTGGGGCTCAGAGCCTGGGGCGCGGCTCGGGATCTGGAGATAGTATGTTCCGAAGCTCAGTGTATATAAGGAGAGCCTTCAGCTCTCTTAGATAGCAGAGTCACTTCATCCGATCCTCTGAACAGCTACTGCCAGGCTATCTTATTCTCCACAAGAAGAAATTCCCAAATCCGTTGTTGGATTTCCAATGCCTGAAGGCCATGGCCAGGATGCATACCAATACCTTTAGTGATACTGTCGAACGTTTTATCATCTTCATCCCAAGACATAAGTTCTCCGTATGTTTGGGCCGTAGTTCTCCCAAGAAACAACATGGTGTATTCGTTAAGGAAGGCAGGGCTTCCAACGAGGCGTAGTACTGTACGATTGGGCGATTTTGAGGCCTGTACGGGTGAGATTTTGTGTACGTTCGTACGACAGGGAGGAGGAGAGGTAGGTGTACGTATCGTAACTATTACAGCTCACGTGATCTGTACAAGTAGTACAATTTAATTAAAGTACGCTGTACTCTAGTTGAAACAGCTAAGACTATGGGTCTCTAGAGACGCAAGATTAAGGTCTAATTAACAATAAAATAACTAGTTTTCCCTAGTAACAAGAGCAGATAGGACTAGATAAGGCCTGTAAGGCGACAAGAGGCGTGGATAGATAACTCTGCAATAGAAAATAGTCTGTAATAGGCATTTTTGAGACGACAGACTGCAGGTGGATAGATTAAACCCCTTAGAAAGAGATTTAAGCGCCCGCAGGGCTCCTGCTTGCTAGAGCCCTCCTACCCCTCTAGAACCCCTATACAAACTTCCTAAAAGGGCAATACGATCCGTACTACGTACCGCACCTAGGGCATTATTAATTGTACGGTACGGCTCACGAACTCGGTACGTTCGTACTGAACACGTGACCGTTACAGTTCACTTTGTACGGACCGTAGTACGGCCCGTTGGAAGCCCTGAAGAAAGGCTGGCGTCACAGCTCCAGTTGTCTCACCAAGCGCAGCAAGTTCGAGGTCAGAATGCACAAACTCATGAGGATACTTGCGACCACGAGAGTTAAGGAAGACGGAAAGCAAGTTAGGTTTGGTGAGGTCTTCCAGATTGACATACGGCCACATATAAGCTTCCTGGAACTTCGTGGTCATCGAGTGTCGTGCTGGGTTCCCTTGGAGATAGGATTCGACATCAGGGCGGTGTTTCGTCGACATGTTTGGCCAAGCATCGAGCAAAATCTGTTCCCTCTTCCCTTTGCTCTTGCTTATCCATCGCTTTCGGATTACCTCTTTGTGTCGCTCGATGATGGCATTCAGAGTTTGCCAATCCTTCAAGAGCTTTTCGGAGAAGCTGCGTGCCTTCTGTCGTACTTCCTCCAGAAGAGGGAATGAAGGAGGCATGGGCAAGCCACTAGGAAGGCCTTGAGGTATGTCCATAGTGGCTTTCAGGACGATGGAGCTCGCAGGGTATCAGGTCAACCAGCTTCCTTAGAGCAAACTCAATACCGAAACTCCTCAAGTAGGAGGCGGCGTTGACTACTTATTGTGATAAACTACAATCATCGAATATGATGGGCAGTGTTGATCGGGATAGTTGTAAAGAGAGGAATACGATTCTAGGGTTAACCACCTCCGCGTGCATTCCTCATGCGCGTATTTTCTTAGCTGACAATCCGTATTCAAATTACTGCGCGAGCCAGAGGAGTTGGAAGGAATGAAATCAACACGAAGCTTTTGGGTCTGGCGCGAGAGCTCAGATGTATTTCCTTGTGTCACAACTAGAAACAGCCCCGTGTGCCCCACTTATTCGGGGACTAGCAGTCTCAGCCTCGAAATTCCTTCTTCATCTTGCAACTTCCAAGCTTGCAGGCCAATAATACATCTGAACCATCTCCAAAGAGTCACTGTTTGGTGATGAGAATTCATAAATCTCGTCATAGATAGGGTCGAGAAGCCTCAGGGTCCTCTACTAAATTTCATCAACTGACACAAGGTCTCGCCTCGCACACGCACACACTGGATTTTGCCAATTTTTAACATCAGAGCAACTCTACTAACTAGCGGAGCTTGCTCCGCTTATATTTTCGATTTCTAAGAACGCCCACTTTTCTTCGGGCCTAATGTAGTTAGCAGAGTCTCCTCTTTAGGTAATTTGGGCTTAGTCATTCCAGAATTCGCGAGATCTTCGGCAGTGTAGTATATGTAATACCTTGACAAGCAGGTTCTTAATTAACTTTCTGAAAAGTACAATACGCAGTGTATAGTATGCTGCAGCTTCTAATTATGTGCAGCCTAAATTAAAGCCCTAGTTGTGGAGCTGCAGCTTGTGTATCTTGTTGTCTTTGTAGACATTTCTCAAGCTGCTTAGAAGCCTGCCTCACTCAGCAGTTGAGGAACACCTTGCTGTTTGCCTGTCCTCGCCTCTCTATCACCGCAAAGACTCTATCATGACCCACCGCAACCTCCCACACCGCCTGCAGCTATTCACCTACTTACTTTTATAGATAATAGCCTTTAGGATAAGGATCTTCTTGCTGCTGTTACAAATCCTTCAACTGTTTTGCTCGCACAACTGCTAGCACAACTGCTAGTTCTGCTTCTTCAACTGCCGCTTAACTATAATAGGCTGGTGCCTAGGGGCATCATCTAGAGATTAGCTGTCAGAGTTAGGAAAGGAATAAAGTAAACTGCAGCAAACTGTAGCAAATTGTAGCAAACTGCAATTAACTGCAGTAGATTACAGCAACGTGCAGCAAGCCCTAGTAGGCATTATTTGTGTTGCAAGTAGCTCTACGTATAGAAATGGTTCTAGATAGGGAACGCCCCTATCAAAAAACTACTTTATATACTACTATATATATTACTATATCTACTAAAGTATTTCACAAGCGAGCGGTCTATACAAGCAAACGGTCTACTCTAATAAAATTGTAGCCTCTTATACTTTAATTAATAATACATCTACTAATTAACCTTTAATATAACGTATTTTATTAGCGAGCGGGCTATACAAGCAAATAGTCTACTCTAACAACATTTTTACACTTAAATTACATCTTACTCTACAACACCTATATTAATTAATTAAATAAAAGAATATATAATCTATAATATTCACTTTATAAATATCATAAGTTTTAACTTAGTAACTTTACTAGTAGTAGTAGCTACAGCGTTGTTAACTTTATAGTATAGTAGTTAATTCTACGCTATTCTAGCTAATATTCTTTAACGTACTTCACAGGCGAGTTGCTTACACACCTGAGTTACTTAATTTTGCTAAGACCCTACTAAACTACTCTTCCTACACTAATGCATTCCTAACAACACTACTTAGACACGCTAAAAGAATATTAGATACAGCTTACACTCTAACCTTTTAAATAAAATATAAAACTTTTAAAGAAACATGCTACAGCTATGTGTAAAGTCTTATAAAAAATAATAAATAACTATAGCGCTAGATAACCCTTACAAGCTAATTCTACAGCTAAATTATAAAGGCTATGTCCGTACGCAGCAGCAGCGTCGCGTCCTGGATACGAACGATCGCGCACGAGCAGGATCACGTATCTATGTCACATGATGCTCGTGCGCGAACCTCCGTGCGCGAACATCTAGATATCCCCCTTTTCCTCCGTACGGAGGAAAGACAAAAGAGCAATAGAACCAGAAACATGTTGCCCTCACCTTACCTACCTCGTACGCTGTGCACACCGTACACCACTCTTACTCTTGCTACTTAAGTGCTCATACCATAAGCAGCTAGCTGTCGGAGCCCATTCAACAGGCTAAGTAATAAAAAAAAAGCAGGTAATTATTAAGACTATACTTAAGCTATATGCACAAGGAATTTCCCTTTAGATAGCATTTATAGCTAATATAGCTAATTCTTTACACGCTAAGCATAATCTAGGCTATGTTTATATAAACTAGCCTAGTACATTTATAAAGTGTTATTTAGAGCTTAAAGTAAAGTTTTAAGCATAAGTATAGTTAAAAAATATTTAGCTAATTATAAAGCCTGTTTTACTAAAGTTGTACATGTTATTATCCTAGATACTATACTTAGCTTTAATATTCTCTATAAGGCTAAACCTGCTCTAAATTACTTTAGAACTTTTATAAAAAGCTTTTTTATAGTTATACTTACACTTAAATATTACTTTAAGCTCTAAATAACACTTTACAAACATATAAGGCTAGTTTATGCTAACATAGCCTAGATTACACTTAGCGTGTAAAGAATTAGCTATATTAGCTATAAATGCTATCTAAGAGGAAATTCCTTGCGCATATAGCTTAAATATAGTCTTAATAATTATCTGCTTCTTATTATTAGCTGTAGAATTAGCGTGTAAAAGTTGTCTAGACAACCTAAGATAGAACAATTCAAGCACATTGTTATAGTTATGCTTATAAGAAAACCTGTTTTAAGATTTATAGTACACTTAATAAAGTTTATAGTTTAGTTTATACTAATATATTTTAACTTAGCTTAAATAATAATAGCTTTAGAGTTTATTAGCTATATCTTTTATAACTTAAAGTAAAAAAACAAATTTATAAATTTAAGCTAAGTATATACTTTATAATTATATTATAAAAGTCTACTATTAAGCTTTTAAGTAAGTGTGGCTTTAAAAACTTTATAAATTACTATAGTAAGTTAAATGCTTAAAAAGTTAAAAGTATTTAACCTTTTTTATTAGTATGTTAAAGGTTAATTAGTAGATGCATTATTAATTCGAGTATAAAGTGCTAAAATTTTATTACAGTAGACTATTTACTTATGTAGTCTACTCGCTTGTGAAATACGTTACTTTAGAAAGATTACATTTAGTTTAATACCTAATCTAATTTTTTTAATATATAGTGCATTAAGTAGATTAATTAGTATAACAGTACTAATAAGTAGATAGTTAGCTATTAGATACTATTTTATATTTTTTAGTAATAACTTGCTAATTTTAAAATACGCTTATACTTTTAATAACTTTTTTAACTTAATTTTTTAAAATTCAAATTTCTAAATTTAACTTATAGTATATATACAGTACTATAAAACTTATTTTTATCTTCTATTAAGCGTTACTAAAGTTGTTAATGTAGCTTTTAAATATTCTCTAAATCTATTTAAATAAGCTAGCTAAATGTTAGTCTAATAAATTTAATTTATATAGGGAAAATATAGAGACTAAAAGAGGCTTTAAAATACGCTATTAATTGTCTAATTTAAATTAGAACTGTTTGAGATAATTAAAGTAAAACTTTTACTACTAATGTGTACCCTTTACTATTCCAAGCTCCGCTTTTCCTAGACATTCATTAATTAGCGTAGTATGTTATATCCTTTGCAGATTCTATTAAAGTTTAGAGCGTACAGGTAAGTAGTTGCTGAAAGCCTTAAAATTAAGAGTATTGAGATGGGCCGATTGCGTCGTTGCATATGGGCGGCTAAAGCTCGAAATGATTTGTTGGAAATTTTCAGGTCCAATGCGACAACTTGCATTCCTCCGTGGGCGGTAACCTCATCTCGCTATGCCCAACAAAGCATCCATGGATCTCTCCAATACCCCATCAGATCTCTGTTCTTACTGCAAAGAAATTCTTCCCAAGCTTAGACACCGCCTTCTTTCGACACACAGGCACGAGCATAGGAGCCCGGAGTTGCTAGCGCGATGCTTCCCTGCGCAGGTCGAAGCCTACATCGCGAACCCGAGGTGCGGGCTGTGTAGACTTGCACTAAAAATGTTGGCAACGGCGTATGATGCCCCATGGCAGGTATTCAGAGGTGAGGGATATATGCTTTGGGCTGTGGATGTCTGGGATGGGATAGGAGAGGGATATGTAACTGGTATTTATATTAAGATAACTGCTAGTGGGAGTTACGCCGACTCTACGGGTAATGATGCGGGCCTTTCGTACATGCGTAATGGTCTCATTATGAAGGCACTGGATCGTGGGCCAGGAGAAGAGGAGCATAGCATTTCCCCAGCAAGGATTGTGAATCAGGAGAGAGTTGACTATAGCCTCGTGAAGAGTTGGATGAGGACCTGTCTACATGGCCATAGCCGCTGCAGCGAAGGATTCCGGAACCACGTCGTTGGCATGAAGGTTATCGACTGCGTACAAGAATGCCTAGTGATGCACAAACCAGAGCATAACTACATTGCACTGAGCTATGTCTGGGGACCCCCACCAAAGGACAAACAAGACCAGAGTACGTCTTCGGGAAATATGTTTGAGGATTCCCCAAGAGTCATCCGCGACGCCATTCATGTTACGCGAGAATTAGGATATAGATATCTTTGGATCGATCGTTACTGCATCAACCAGACTGATGGGGAAGAAAAAATGTCTCAACTTACACAAATGGACTTGATATACGAGAATGCGGATATGACAATTGTTGCAGGGGCTGGAGAAGACGATCGCCATGGTCTGCCAGGTGCTGGATCGGAACCGCTGCTGCCTCGATGCACACAGCCGGCGGCCAGGATCGGGGATATCACAGTCGTTTCCACACTCCCAGAAATCTCTCACTTCCTAGGCAAATCAAGATGGGCGACGAGAGGGTGGACGTACCAAGAAGCGGTCTTGTCGCGGCGGTGCCTGATGTTTTTCCCTACGCACGTCTTTTTCGTTTGTCGGACGATGTGTCGCAGCGAGACTGCACCGTTCTTACCACCTTTAAGGGTTGGAGGAAGTATCGATATCAGTCTCCAAAGTCTATTTCTGGACCCAGGCTCATGGGAGAACTCTAGAAAAAATTCTAGACGGTTGATGATCCCCTCTAGTGGGAACATCCATCAACATATCGAGATGTACTCTTCACGCAGCTTGACCTACGATAGCGATGCTCATAACGCTTTCCTTGGTATTCTCAAACGATCTAGCGTTAAGAGTTACTGGGGTGTTCCAGTATTCGACGTCCGGATGGCAAGTAATGAGGCGTTGCAAGAATCAGCCTCACAAGTTGAAAAAGGGCGCCACTCAGAGGGTCCATTTCCCCAGGTGGAGTGGGGAATGATTCCTATGAGTTTCGTGGCATGGGAAATTGAATGGGATCTTCAGAACCGGATAACAGCTGGTTTTCTCCAGGGATTGATGTGGTCTGTTCTGGATCCCGACCTCACGGGGCGGAGAGTCGAGATGCCCTCTTGGACATGGCACAGTATCAAAGGCAGCACTCTCGAGTTCAGCTGGGCAAAATCTCACTCTAAGTCTGCATGTGTATTAGGGGGTGCCATCGGACACTCGACTCGTTTACCCGAGGTCTGGCTTGAGCAAAAGGAAGAACGGCATTGGGTCCGGTTCCCAGATTGGGCGAATAAGTACGAGAAGAATGCAATCGTTCCTGACCTTGGTTGCTCTATTCTTGTGGAAGGTTTTGTGGCATCTGTAGAAGCTATGTTTCAAAAGGGAGGGTCTATCTTTGTTCGCATATCGCAGTCTTGTGTAGCAGATCTTCTGGTAGATCTCGACTCCGACCTTCCAGAGCCTTTCTATAATAAAGAGTATCAATGGAGAAGCGCATCAACCGAAACTGAGCAAGAAAGGGATATTTCGAGGCTCGGGTGGACGGTCCTGAATCTGTTAGCTAAAGGTGATAGTGAGGCGCGTATTCTAGAATGCCTTGTTTTGCGAAAGGTCGATGAAACCATTTTTAAGAGAGTCGGTGTGCTACAGGCAATGGACTTTATTTCAAATGGAAATGCAAGGAGAGAACGGTTGATTATACAGTAGTTAGTGTAATCCAATGCAATACGAGATCAAGCAAACGGTGAAAGCGAGATTGCACGTGGAAAACAAAGAAAACAAGGAGGGAGACAGGAGGGGCAACCAAGGATTGCAATGTAATTCGAGTGGCGGAATGATACCACCTACGAATACTGGTGAGGAAAAAGAGAGGTTTTAAAAAAGAGCGCCAGGATTCCGTTGACTCTTACAACAATCTCGGTCTAATGATCACGGAGCAGGATAACCATGAAGCTGCGGATCCTACGTTCAGGATCGCTTTGTCCGACCACGAGAGAAATTCAAGCCAGGCTATCCTGATGTCTTCCAGAGTTTTCCAGCATCAGTTATACAAGCTTCATTCCAAAGCTTTTTAAGGGCAAGGAGAACCTTACCTAGACTCTATTCTATCAAACCAATATCATGGAAGCAGAAAACCTCTTCGTGAAATCTAAAACGATTACTACAAAACCGTGGGACTAGGATATTGACAGAAGGAAAATAGGAACGTAGTAAGGAGTGAATATAAATTCGCGAAAAGGAAACGGAACCACATATATGATAGTGGTTCTAAAATCAAGGCTGAATATTCTCGCACGGGACTTTGGTCAGCGTGACCCTGCGTCAAGAGTGAATGTAGGTCCTTGACTCACCCCAGTTTCCTGTTTAGGACAATCGCCGTTCTATCTACTATATAGCCGCTTCAGGGCTCCCTCGAGCTCCTCAGGCCAAACCTCAGACCTTGGGCCTTTGCTCAACTTACCTAGTTTTGGTTCTCACTACCTAATTACTCGCAACTCTATATGCCCTCCTCTATCCGTCAGCTCCGTAAGTGAACGAGTGATAGATACTAGTTGTAAATATGGTATCGTGGATTAATGACTAATTTGTGCCGAAGTGTTAGAGTCGCGCCTCTGCTCCTGGCGCTTTCCATCCTAGTGCCTCTACTAGAATCGAAACTTTGTGCTGCATTCGGGCGCAAAATGGGGGGCAAATCTATGTCTGACTGGATCGCATGTATTCCCACTGGTGAAGGACTAGAAGCCAGGAGATAAATATGGAGCACAAGAACATTCTATTACAATTTTAGCTCGCGGAAAGGCATACAGCTGCCTTGTGTCATTGGCTGACAACAAGATCGCTTGGAACTCAGGATCCATGGCGCTGTATTTCCCCGGCCTACACAATATCAAGAACGAATGACGCCTATGTTGTACCTACGAAAGAGATTTGTTGAGGATCGTAATGACATGTTGAAGCTATGGAACATGTTTCGATACTTGTTAGTACACGTTGCAGTGATTACAAGTCAATGCGAATAATCGCCTGAATCTGAATTAGGGTCGAGAGCTGGCTACTTCGGTGTATTGCCTCAATCATTAAGCGTTCAGTGAGTGTTCTCCCAACTTCCGCCTTTAGAACAAATCAAAAATTTCCTTGATGTAGTTCTTATGAGCCAAAGCCTGCCTTCACGGGATTTTCCTTGTAGAACGTGCTCATTCTGTATTTTGTTTCACCCTCGTATGGCGCCAGATCTGCTAATGCCTGCTTTCCCTCTCGGAGGATAGTCTGTCGGATGGCTTCGCTTCTTGGCTTGATGCTAACCTTGAACGGTTGTGGCCGCATGTTCAGGCCATTGCTACGCCTTGTTAGTGATTAAGTGTAGCAAAAAAGCTTGGGGGACTCACGTGTAGTCAAAAATATCGACTGAGATTGGGTTCCCAGTCTCATCCAAAGCAGGTTCGATTTTAAAGCCCCATACTAACCGCGCAACCGTCAACCAGGTCCCTTGTTCGGCAAGTGCCTGTCCCGAACACACTCTTCGACCCCAACCGAATGTCATGTAGCCCCTCTCCCCAGGGAATGGCCGCGCATCCGGACTATCTTTCATGAATCTACTCGGGTTAAATCGATCTGGTTCTGGGAACTCGCGCTCATTCCTGTGAATCGCCCACACATTGCCTTGAACCCAGGTTGATTTGGGAATCAGCCAGCCCTTGTAGTAATCATCTTGCACAGGAGCGTGTGGCTGACCGCCGATGATGGCAACGGAACGCCAACGGAAGACTTCCTTGACAAAGGCGCGTATATATGGGAGGTTGGTGTCGTCCTCGAACGAAGGACTTCTTTCTGATCCAACAACACGGTCAAGTTCTTCCCAAGCCTGGATCATCGTTTCGGGGAATGCGCGCATAGCTAGAATGGCGGTAATGAGAGTGCTGCTTGAGGTATCAGAACCTGCACCAAATAGATTGCCAGCTAGCGCGGATATCTCCTGTGAGTGGAGATTGTACTTAGGCGCCTCCTTAAAGAGTAGTTTGGAATAGCAATCTTCGTGCCCAGGATTCTCGTTCGCCTCTTTTGCGAGTGTGTAGAAGAAGTCATGGCCACGGTGTGATTTCCCTCGAGCACCAAGTCCATGCTTCCATGGCGCAATCTCAGTAGGTACTTTAGCAAGAACTGTGAAGAGTCACCTATAATGTCGTTTGACCTCCAGCGTCCCAACTTACTTGGAAATGTCTCCATCAACATGGGAAAAGTCTTTCCTGGAACATTAAGATCCGCAGCTCGATGCATCACAGCGATAACATCGGTAATGATTGGATCCTTTGAGTCAGCCACTCTCCTCCCAAACCCAATGATCGAGACTACACTCGTCGCATACCGCTCGAAGTGGGCAACATAATCTTCTGGAGTAGTCAGCATATCGTACGCCACTACTTTGCTCTCATCGTTCTGGAAGTCGCGATATCTTTTCACTTGCTGAATCCCCACACCTTGGTGCATTAGCTTTCTCTGAACTCGGAAACGGTCTCTCTCAGCTTGCGTGGTTGTGATCATGTTCACGAGATTTTTTTGGCCGGCCCCGAGTTCGGCAAATACGAGCATTCGGGGACGAGAGCAGTAGATTCCTGCTCTTTTGTCCAAGAGTTCGTTCGCGGCCCACGCATCGTTTATCCATACCGTCGGATTTCTGCACGGATATTAACAAAGAAGAAGTGAAAAGATGTGGAAGCACTCGCCTGCCTATCCAAAATGTGATCAGAGGGGTATTGTACTTCTTTGATAGCAACTCAAAATATATCCAGGGCTTGTTGTCGGGAAGCTGAAATGTATTTCCTACAATGGGCAGGGGCCATGGTCCCGGTGGCTATGTCTCAATCAGCCCGCATGCTGCGTTTCATCGGAGATTATATCTGACCATTCTTGACCTCAGATATAGCATCCACCCATAGTCCACAACAACTCCCACGGCTGCGGTAACCAATACGGCGAGCAAGATGTTCCCGACACCGAATTTCGATATGCCATGCTGCACGTAATGCAGTGGCAGCGTCTCGAATAGTTGCTCGATGGCCATAGCTTCTGCGCTCAAATCTCCTGACAATGGGGTGAGGAGGACGAAGTTGAGGTTGCTTCAAGCTTTTGAATTTAAAGCGACCCGAGAGCGTCCCTCGGATTCTGCACAAGGACTGCCTGGGTGCCAAACAGCCAATTACTATCCGTAAGACCCTGTCAGCAGTGCAGCGAGAGCATTCGTGAACCCTCGAGCCCTATCTCCGTTGGTTGTTTTGTCAGATGCTGCATGTCGACGTGTTGGAGAAGTACTGCAACCCCACATCATGATGGTGGGGCAGAAGGCCCGGCAAATCCATCTCGAGAAGCCGAATAGCCGCAAGCCTTTCATTGACTACTTTCCTCTCGGCTCAGGAGAGGTACCAGATCTTCCACCGCCGTACGTGCTTGAGAGCGAGGCTGCGGTTTGGCCGGTGGTGCATAAAATCGAATGGTGCTGATGAACCGATGCTGATACGACCGCGGCACGGTTCATTCCAGGTGAAGGCAGAGTCGTGTTTCCTGGGAACGAAAGAGCCAAGTTTAATGCAGCTGAGAGTACTAGAATTAGCATCTGATGGATGCAAAGGGATGGTCGTTTGTATATGGTAGGTGGACAAGAGAACCATGACAGAGGGAGCTTTCAAGAAGCGGCAGGTGCACGTGCATTGCGACCGGTTTACAATATCCCTTTTCACGTCCTTCCTTAACATTCTATGATCAATCAGTGCTTAGTTCATTACTCCCACACACGCATCGTTTATTGATTGCCATTCGTTCTATCCCCTCCTCTTACGATAGTCGAGTCTGCGATCCGGTGGTCCCCATTATTCTTCGATCATCTCCCTCAGGCTTTACAAAGTCAGCCAACCGGTTTAGGCGATATCCAGGGCTAGAGGCACCTTCTCCAAACACTTTGACACAGCTAGGTTTGTAATATGAATTCTAGAGCAGTACTAGGCCCCTGGGGCGACCCCTCGTCGCGATGTGTTGCCTAGTTTTGACGCCTTATTTTGTTCAATATGCGCGCGACCGCAAATGCCTCTCTCGGCCTTGTCTTATTGGTTTCGTGAGCAGAAAAACGCACTAGGAGAGCCAACAATCTTTACGACACAGAACCAACGTTACGGTGGAGTGTTCTAGGAAGAAAGATCGAGCAAATTATTACAAGCTGAGGCTAACCCTAATGCTTCATCGATAGGTTTGTGTCTTAGCTTGGGCAGCGGTCTACTCTATCACAACATATTCGCCTAGTAGGATTGCCCAACTTCACGTTTTATTTTACATACACCCGCTTCGACGTTATAGTTGGATTTCTAGTACGACTAAGAACGATACTTCCGAAAAATAGCTGGTTCCAACGTATTGGTCCTGCTCTTCTCGAGCATGTCTCACAACAAACATGATGTCAATGTAAGCCAACATGTACCTAGTCCACGGTGCAATATTCCTCTAACTTGCGCGAAGACTGGGGATGCCTCAATTCATGAAGACACGAGATACGATGCATGGGGCCCCGCAATAGCAGGTTCCACCATTACTACCGGGCATTCCTCTTCGCTGAAGCAGTCATCCACCTCCGATAAGCCTCTCATGAATTTACCAAACAACTCCAGTTCATCAACAAAGCACTTTTCGGCACAAGCACTTACACTAGCCAGTGAGCAAAACCTCTCTGCACAAAGCTCAGAAATGATTGCATCGTTGCCGACTGCCAAAACCATAGACGATTTGCCAACCGAGATAATATGCATGCTGGGGGAGAAAGTGGAGAGTTTATTTCTCATGAGAAGTCTTAATCGAAGACTGAGAGACGGAGTGGACTTCATTTTTGTGAGTACAAGCCTCTAAGCTATACCAATCTAGAAGTTTAACGTTTCCAACCCATGAGCTTCTACACAAGTGCTAAATTCGGATTCATAGCTAAAGATGTATTTTTGGACTCGAACCCTTAAAACGACAGAATATGCCTTGCGCCGCCTGGAAACCATTGTGCGCACACCTAGATTCATTTCGAGGACACCCAAGCTGGGCGAGGCTATCCAAAGCATTGTATTTCAATTGACGTTCTCATCACTGACCAATGCACCACTCTGTATATTCCAGCACACTCCTCGTCTAAAATCGGTCATCATTAAGCCGCTGGACTGGCCAAGACGCATCAGCATGAATGACGTTGTACTGGACCACACGCAACGATGGCCCTTGACTCATGAACACCAGCATCATATCATGAGCGCGATATTCAGTGGTATTCAAGACTCACCACTACAGCTTGAGGAACTCAGCATACCAAGGCTTGGAGAAGTTCCTTTCAGGCATCTGATGGTACTCACGCCCCTCTTGCTAAGTCCCATTCGCTGGGGTAGCTTGTGTTATACCAATCTAAAGACGCTCGAATTAGGTTTTGGCCTTCAAAAGGTTTTAAGCCTCACGCAACTTCAACGGGAAATGAAATTTCTAAATGTCTTAAACGGCGTACCTAACCTTCAGCATCTGACGATTTTCCTACTAGGCGACAAGCTGGACCTAGAGCGACGCGAATGGGTTGCAACTGAGATTAGCCCCCGTATATTGAAATCTCTAGCCAAAGATAAGGTCGGAGATCCCCCCTTCCTTCGAAAACTCCACCTCAAAGGAGTAATTGCCCGCTCGGAGATTACCTTCGATAAAATTCTCCATGCACACGGTCAAACACTGCGGGACCTTTGTCTCTGTGAATTCGAACTCGAACCGCCGAACAATATGGAGAATTTCTGGAAGGCTCTCTCCGAACTCGACCTCGAATGCCTAGTGTGGAGACGGCTCAAGAATACATGTGGGCGTTACATCCGTACGTGGCCCGTATGGACAGTGGAACAGGATCAACTGGAATGGGGCGAAGATGCAGATAACGAATCGAAGGATGAGAGCTTCCGAGACTGGCAGGTTTTGCAATTGTCATCCCCTTTCACTTGGGTCCGCCACCTTGGGAATGTGAAGGGAAGCATGAGGGAGGTGGTTGCTCTTCTACCTTTCGTTAATGGAGGTGAATATCTCGATCGAAGGGTACTTATCACAAATTAATATCTCACCGCTGTCCGTAAATTCTTTCCCCGTAAGGCGCTCCAATGCAACTTCATCTCCGACACTTTTCCCACCTGCTATGTGGGTGAATCAGTTGCTCATGTGCATACTCTGCTAGTCCTAAATAAGCTGGTGCCCATCTTTCCCCGCACCTTACCCCAGCCTTGCCTCGCTTCGCAGCCCCAACATCCACGACTCATGTCTGCTCCTCAACTCCAACGTCTCAGATCACAGGGACACGCGCTCTAACAAAATCGCATCTGCCGAACTCACTAAAAGACGCCTCTTCAGCTACTTTCGCAAAATCTTGACACTCTCACACGGCCCAGAATAGCCATTCTAAATCCTGGTCTAACGGGCAATAGGATAGCGGCTAGCATTTTCCCGTTTCAGGTGTGCTCATGGACGGCCGTACCGTCCCGAAGAGGTGGTATAGCCGTTGGACATCCTGCATTCCATCGGATCCATCTCGATTCCAGACCAATGAACTCCCGCCCTGTGGTGCATGGGACTTCTGCACACACTGTTATATGCATATGCTCATGTCGTGGTCTTCATCCAATCGCCCCATCTTGTTTCTTACCCCACGAATACGAGTACCGCGCTCGAACGAACTGTCATGGAAGTGATTCACTATCCTAGCGACGACGGGGAAGGAGGAATAGCGATTGGCAGGTATTGGATGCGGGGGAGTATTCCCCACATGTTAGGTTGGTTTGAATGACTGGGGCGACGGTGTTATGCAAGGGTCGGCAAATATTGGTGCCAGTTCTGGGATCGACATTGCAATGTGATGGGTGACGAGAAAGAGGAGGGTACTTCATTTAGAACTCCCGACGCTGCTGTGAGAACCTCCTTTCAGGCGGGTATTTCAGGTTCTGTGGATGTCGAGTAACATCTTTTCAGCATCTTCCTTCCTTCTCTGCCACTTGAGTCTTTCTGATCTAAATCAGCTTCGACTTGAGGTCGTCCAACTATCAAGATGCCCGAAGCCTCGACCGGCACAACCTTGAGAGAGAACTGGAAATGCATCGCGGCATGTACTCTTGTGTCCATGTCACCATTCCAGTATGGTATTGACTTTGGTCTCATCGGTGGTTTACAAGCTATGCCTGGCTTCCTAGCAGTAATTCACCTTCAGTCTCCCATTCAACCGCTTCATCACGACTAAAAAGCCTCTTAGGTTTTCGGCCACAGAGACCCCAACAGTCCCATCGGCTACAACATCTCCCCTGGACGCCAACAACTCATCTCGTCCCTAATGACGCTCGGTGCCTTCATCAGCTCCTCCAGTGCCGGCATTCTCGCAACATGGATGGGCCGTCGCCCCTGTCTCTGGATGGCGTGTCTCCTCTGCTGCGTCTCCAACATCGTCATGATGACTACCACAAACCTGCACGGCATCTACGCAGGTCGTTTCCTCATCGGCGTCGCAAACGGCTGGTTCATGACCTTCGCACAGCTCTACATTCAAGAATCCTCACCAGCCCGCTACCGCGGCCTCCTCATCGCCGTTTTCCAATTCTGGACATCCATCGGTACCCTTATTGGTACAGTCGTCGACAACTTTACTGCGCCGATTTCAGGCAAGGAATCCTATCTCATCCCCTTGGGCATCATCTACATTGTGCCTGCATTCATGTCTGTCGGAATGATCTTCATCCCCGAATCCCCCCGCTGGCTTCTGTACCAAGACAAAGAAGATGAAGCGCGTAAGTCGTTGCTATGGATGCGTCCCAACAAAGCTGGAGTGGAGCCAGAAATCGCGGACATTCAATCCGCAATCCTCGCCGAAAAAGAACTCGCAAGTTCGGCGAGCTTCATCGATATTATTAAAAACCCGACCGATCGACGCCGCATGCTATTAGCCGTGGGCGCGGTGTCGACACAAGCGGCTAGCGGTGCGATGTTTATGATTGCGTATGGAACGTATTTCTTTGAAATGGCACACGTCGGCAACGCGTTCCAAAACACGTGCATCCTGACTGCCGTCGGCGTTGTCGTTATCATTATAAACTCCTGCGTGATCTCGCGGTACGGCCGGCGCCGGGTATTCCTCATGGTCGGGATGTCTATCTGCGGAGTCTCGCAATTCATAGTCGCAGCGGTATACCACGTTCATCCAGGCACTATCTCCACCGGTAAAGTCATCGTCGCGATGTCAGTGATCTACATCTGCGGATACAACGGTATGGTAGCTACATATGCGTGGCTCGCAGGCGGAGAAATCCCAAGCCAGAGGCTGCGGTCATATACGTTTGGGATTGCGGCGGCGGTTGGCTTTGCGGGGGCTTGGTTGGCAACTTTTACGGCACCGTATTTTATTAATCCGGATTCTTTGAATTGGGGGCCTGAGTATGGTATGTTCACTCTTTCCCCAATTCCACTCGCCCCTTGCCGCCTTTTTTTAACTTTCACCCTACCAACATCCCACTAACTCCGGATCTTTAGGCTGGATATGGGGACCCAGCTGCCTCCTCACCGTCGCTTGGATATACTTCTTCCTCCCCGAAATCAAAAACCGCACGCTGGAAGAAATCGACGAGATGTTCGAGGCCAAACTCGCAGCACGCAAGTTCCGAAAATACGTGTGCACTGGCCGTCATATTACAGATGATAAATTAGAAGGGCTGGGGAGGAAGAGTACAGAGGAGAATGTTTGGGGGAATGAGAAGGCTGTTGCGGAGGCTGCTGTGTATATCGAGTAGGTGAGGTGGTAGGGATGAGGCGGGGAAAAGAATTGAGAGACATTGGCGCTGGGTGTAAGGGATATGCAGAAGGATGTGGCGGGTGTAGAAGTTGGAACATCACTAGGGTAGAAGCTACAGTCATATGTCACGTCATGTGACAAGAAGTAGTAGTGAAAGATAGAGGGTTCCTGCGTCTAGTGCGGCTTACACACCAACATTTCCGGTGGAAAGAACCTTGGAAGAGTGCAGGTAGAAATAAGTCATGCGATTGATAGATTTGCCATGACTAATGACGACTGGACAAAGTCTCGAAGAAGTTTAGCCTCTGGTTTAAACCCCAAACAAATCGCCTTCTTCCCGCACTGTTCTACATATTACTTCCCAGTGTAGACAAAAATAATTATCTTGTTCGACACGCGAAATCGTAAGCATAGAAAACTGCACAGTTAAGTTATTAATGAACTTTAATCAGCACTTCCAATATGGCCCCTGCACAAAGAAATACGAACCTTTAACGTGATGCCTCCTAGTCTTCTCCTCCAGGACACAAATCAATCAAACCGCACGGTATCTTGCTAACAGTAGGTTCCTGAAAGGGTTCTGGAGTTGGAGAGAAGAGAAGACACCGAATATGGAAGTTATATGACGATTCTCAAGAGAGGTTCGAACGGTCTCACAAATGGTGGAAGACACCGAACATAGAAATTATCTGACGAGGCTCAGGAAGCCGCAAAGATAGCAGTCTAACTTCGTTTTCATTTCAATGAATGTATAAATGGGAGCCAGAATCCGCAACGAACACAAGACAGACAACAAGCAGAGCAATCCAGTCCAGTACATATTCATTCTACAAAGCTTCCGATTTTCAATCAACCACTCACTGCGCGAAGCTCGCTGCATTCCATTCCATCGTTCAAAATGAAGCTCTCACTCCTTTCCCCTATCACTGCACTCCTCACCCTCGTCTCAACCTCCGCGCTTCCTGCTGTTGAGGTCAACATGGTTACCCGCGAGCCCGGAGTGTCCGACATCGTCAAGCGTGCTTCGACTGTTGACATCACATATTGCTCGGAGGTCAACTACGTCGGATGCCAGCACCGATCCTCCGGCCATGGGGACTGTGGTACGCAATCCCATCGTCGGCCTCACCTCCTCCCTTCCGTCACACTCCACTTCGCACATGCACACTCCATTGTCCTGCAAAACCTTATATACACATATACACCCTGCACGTACCAGCGCATGCTAACCCGCCTTTCTCCCCATTAGTCAGCCTCCCCGATTTCAACGACGTGATCAGCTCCGTCCGAATCCCCCCAAACACGATTTGTATCTTCTGGGCGTAAGTTCCGAACTGCTCTAACTACCATACATAACATCCACATCGATATATCTCTACATTATCAGAGAACTGTTGCGGGCGAGATGAGCTAATAAGATTTTCTTTTAGCGATTTTTCGTGCCAGGGTTCCCACACGGGTACCTTTTCGGACCAAAACAAACCCGATATGAAGAACTGGAACGACAAGATTAGCTCCTATCGCTGCTGCTCGGGGACGACTTGGTGTGGGAATGGGCTTTGAATTCTACCCCACTTCTCCAGGTAGGTGTTGTACCGAGATCGAGGTCCAGGGCAAAGAAGACAGTGAGGGACATGGTCATGTCACTCTTTTGTATTCTGAACGGATTAGTGGTTTAGTGTTGATCGGGGCCAGAGGGGGTAATTTCTAACCCTAGTGTTTGTGTCGCTCTTTTATGTTCCAAACATTTACCATTCTCGGTTCCTGCATGTTTGGCAATTGGAAACTATTTTTTAATTAAGCTTTAATGCTACATGAATTGTGCCACCAGAGATCCCAGGTCCTTCTACACGAGGGCCCTGTATTTCGATTACTACGTTAGATAGGATATCCATCTAGGTTAGAAGAGCGAGGGTGAATGTGAGCGAATTTCAGAACGTTAAGTGAGAAACACTTGAAGTAGTGGCTTCCCAATACCAGGTTTCGACAACTCCTATATTATGAAAAGATTAGAACTAGGCCTTCTCATCAATCAATAAAGGCCGGTATTCAGCAATGTACATTTCCCTTCTTGTCTCTCAATTTCGTACCTTGGTTAAAGTTCGGTTGTTGTCGTACGGCGTGCTCTTTAGCCCTACGTCACGCCACGCCACGAGGCACCTGCACCCCTTTCCACATACCCGGATTGAACTTCGCAGGCCCCACGCCAATCCTCCGACAATATCGATTTCTTCTGTACAGCTTCTGTCACACAAGGTAGAGCAAGGGCAAGAAATATGCCAAGGCATCCAGAAAATCGTGGCTTAGATCGTGTTGCTATGAACAAAATTTAGATCCACCGAACGACTTGCTATCTAATACTTGCACATTTCACAAATATCCGACCCAGCACTCATACCCATATATCCTCCTTCTCCTTCCCTTACCCTTCCCTCAAAACAGCCCCCACCACTCACGCCTCAGCTGAAACCCTCCTAATAACTTCATCTCCCACCTCCTCAGTGTGCGCCTCCGTATCAAATCCAAAAATCCAATCCTCTCTCGGAAACTGAATAATCTCCGGATTCTCCTTAACCTTCTGCCAATCAGTTTTATGCCACATATCCCTCGTCGTCTCGCCCGTTTTCTGCACTTTTCTAACTCTCTCATACCTGATATCCTGGTAGGCTCTCAACGCCCCCCTGATGTTGTCTTTTCCCGCTTTCCGCAGCGTAACAGCGAGCGTAACACCATCTTCAAGCGCTTGTGTTGCACCCTGCGCGCTTGTCGGGAGGAAGGGATGCGCAGCGTCGCCGAGAAGGCAGATCCGGCCGTGGCCGGGGGCGAGGCCTCCATAGCCGGATACCCAGGTTGGGAGGGGGTCGCGGTAGACGAGCTTCCAGTCTACCAGGACGGATTCCGGAGTCTTGGAGACGATGCGAGTGCACATGGGATCCCAGCCTGAAAGCACTTTGTAGACGTCTTTGAGGTGCCCGGGGAATGACCACGATTCTGCGATATCGTGTTCATCTCGATGCGTGAGGACCCAGCAGCAGTCGGAGCCATTTTTGATAGTCGAGAAGAGGAAGTGTACGTCGGGGCCTATTTTAGTAGGTCAGGGCATGTAGGAGTATTTCTGGGTATGAGTGATTGGAGAGAAAGCTAAGGGGAGGAAGGGGGGGAAGACAAGGGAGCATACCTATCCACCCATTAAAAGTATCCCCATTCTCACAGAACTGCTTCGTCTCGGGATCGGCCAGCATATCTTTATTTGGGAACCACGCTCTCCACACCGCATACCCAGACGACTTTGGCTTATCTTCGTACCCCAGAACTAGCGTCCTGGCCTTGCTCCGTACACCATCACTGCCAATAACAACATCTCCGACAATCTTGGTTCCATCCTCAAGCACAATTCCCGCCCCATTCTCATCCTCCCAATACCTTTCCACCCGATTGCCCAAATGAATTGGAACCCCGACTTCCTGCGCATACCGGAACACAACCTCATGCAGCTCGCCTCGGTGCCCATTAAAGACTGGCGCAGTCTCGTCTTTGATGGGAGAGCGCTGGTTTATGACAATCTCACCCGTGTCCCATTTGTGGATGTTGAAGCCGTACGAGGTCAGGTCGATGGAGAGGGCGCGCATCTTACGCGCTATGGCACCGTTGGACCAGCGGTAGAAGATGCGACCTGCATTAGGCCCGAACGAGATGATGTCGCCAAGCGCTTTAAGCTCGGGGAAGGCTTCGTAGATGACTGGGTCATGGCCTTGTCGTTTGCATTCTATGGCGGCGGTGAGGCCGCCGAAGCCTGGGGTGTGTGAATTGGGGCATTGCGGTTGAGGAATTGGGAGATCAGCTAGAGGGGTGGGTGCGACGGGAAGCCAGCTTACCTGCACCAACGATAATAACTTTGATACCAGTCGGTGGCTTCGAGCCTGCCTCTGTCGTCGTCTCCGGGACTGCCATTTTGGGGAGCTTGGACTCGTCGATTCTTGCACGGAGTGGCATGCGTTAATCTAGTCTAATTTGATCCAAGTCAATTCGATTAAGTTCAATTCCTCTTAATCACCCCAAAAGCTCAATCGAGGTGTGGAGTTCGTCGAAGTGTCAAGTCGAGGCCTGAAGCACGCAGCAGACAGTGACGCCCAGAAAACTTATCCAGGTCGACGAATCCCAAATCCACACAGTGGGGCTCAGCAACTACAGGATCTACAACCACCCCTTCTTCAGTCTTTCAAGCATGGCCTGATACTTCGTCGCGTCTACACTAGGTGGCATGGCTCCGAAGGCCGACAACGCCGACGATGCCGACGACGCCGACAAGATACCGACAAACAGTCAAACAAATGCCGGGGTTGCGCAGCCAGCGGAATGCTTCCAGGTCACACACTGCGCTGTGCTACCCTGGTGTTCACGCGTCAGCGAGACCGCTGCGTGCAGGTCAATAGTTCGGAGCACGGGGCGGACGTGGGAGGGGTGGAGGTACATCTGCCGAATAGATTACTGTGGGCGATGACGGAGTTGTGAAAGTTACTTGCCCCACATCCCGGCTTCCTCCACAAGGTGGGGGCACGTGCATGGACCCCGCACTCCATGCAGGGCGAAGACGACGAGGTTTACTCTAAGAACGCTTGACTTGATTTGGGTTTTGGCATACACAAAAAGGTCATCGGGGTGCTGGCAGGCGACACCTATGTGCTTGCGCAGCCGGAAGAAGTTCTACATCTAAAAGAGATAGACATGTGGAGGACCATCGGAGATACCGGACCATAACACCCAGTAGCTATCATCGGAGAGGATGAGGTAATCTGGCTGCTACCCCGGGTACGGGAGAGATGTAGTAGAGAAGAAGCACGTGGGGCGGGAGCTTAAAGCAACTCCATTGTCTAACATCGGTAGACGGTTCTACTCCACTGCTCCTTGACACTTCCTGGGTTGCTCTTCTAAGTGGCCCGAAAGCATGACAGTCAAGTTAACCCACCCCGAGTGGAATCAAGAAATAGGAGGTCTTGAAGTAGCAGAGGCATTTGCAGCCCAAATCAAGGGAAAAACTGGTACACCCTACCTCTACTCAACATTCCTCATCACGACCCCAACTGAGCACCCCAGTCCTTATAACCGGCATATCCCCCTCCAGCATCGGCTCCTCCATCAGCCTATCCATCGCCTCCCAATCCCCAGCCCTTCTAATCCTCGCCTCCCGCACTCTCTCCAAACTCTCTGAAGTTGCATCCACCATCACCAGCAGTTACCCCCATGTCTCTGTATGCACTGTACCCCTGGATCTCATGTCGCAATCCTCCATAGAAGCCTCTGCTGCCGCCGTCACCAAGCTAACAAGCACCCTCGATATCGTCATCAATAATGCAGGCCTAATGACGCAAACCCGGCAGCTCACTGCCGAGAACATCGAGGGTCAATTTGGTGCAAACCACATCGGGCATTTTCTCTTCACAAACCTCCTTATGCCCCTGATCCTTGCCGCTGCGAAAATTAATCCCCCTGGGGCTACCCGCATTATCAATTTGACGAGTTTAGGCCACAGACTGAGTCCAATACGCTTCCATGATGTGAATTTAGAAGGAAAAGAAGTGCCACCCGAAGAACTCTTTCCAGGGGAATTGCCAGCAATGTTTCAGGCTACGGGTGAGGATGGGTATAACGGTTATATTGCATATGGGCAAGCGAAGACGGCAAATATACTTTTTTCTGTGTCGCTGACGGAGAAATTGAAGAAGGAGGGCGTGGTGAGTTATGCGGTACATCCAGGCTGTAAGTCCAATCTCTTCTCCAGACCATTAGGGGTATTTAGGCAATTCGGTAATTGTGTGCTAACGCCTACACTGGGTGTTCAGCGATATGGACAGGTCTAAGCCGCGACCTAGACGCAGACGGAGAAGAAGCAATTCGCAAAACGAGTCCGTTTTGGAAGAACCATGATCAGGGGGCTGCCACGATTTTGGTTGCTGCATTTGATCCAGTGCTAAATAGTATGTGTTACCTGGCTGCCAGTTGAAGGGGAAGTGTTAATGGGCTAACAAATTGATTTAGAGCCGCAGGGGATCCTGTTACATGATTGCCAAATCATGGATCCGGCGCCTCATGCTACGGATTCGAAGATTGCGGAGAGGTTGTGGGCATTGAGTGAGAGTCTAGTGGCAAGGGAGTTTAAGCTTTGATAGTGGAGAGATACATGGCTCACGATAATTACGAAACTCTGGGGAGAAACTAGGGCTGAATAGTAGTAGAGCAATGGAGTCAGAATTAAGGAAGATATCTAGTCAGAGAGATAGCATTAATTCAATGGGTTGCGCGCTACATGGGTGTTTTTACAACGAATAATCCAGATTGAATTATCTACAACACGTTTTTCGTACGGGCTCGACCAAAAAGCAAGTTCGCATATCAACTGAATTTGATAATTCCCAAGAACCAAAACATGGTCGCAGGAGACAGCACTGTACAGTTGCGATACTCGGATACGTTCCTAATGTAGTATCGCTCTTACTAAGGTGGTAGCTGATTAGATTGTACGGGTGCCTAGGCCAACTTTGGCCGACCCGCCATCTTCACCTTAACCAAGAGCATATACTGCTAACTAACTCAATCACGTTAGTCATCATATCGGGCCCCTGATATTATCCTTAATGGTGAGGCTCACAGTCGACATTCGATACGAAGAAAGCGAGGCATTGTCGGAGATCCTGGACTTAACCGGACGTAAGCCGATGAGAAGATGTAGGGCAACGCCATCAGCGCCAAAGGTTGTATGTCTGGTTCCAACGGTAGCGGGATTTCGAGGTGGGTATTGGAGATAGCAATAATAGGGCTGGAGGGAGGGAGAATATAAATAGGTGAGTCTGCTCCACGCTCAGTTGCGTCTATTTTCCGATACCCATCTCCGAGCCAAGCTCTCTCTTTCCCAGCAAACATATTCTTTGGACCAGCCTTCCAATTTCGAACTTGTCTCAACAAGTCGTAATCATCCTTCGAAAGAACTCACCATGTCGACATACAAAGCCCTAGTCATCTCAGCATTCGACAAGCCAATTGCCGTCCAAGAACTCCCTACTCCCACTATAACCCCAGGCTCGGCCCTAATCAATCCTCTTTACGCAGGACTCCAACCATACTCCCGTGCTATCTTCACTGGCAAAGTACCGTACCCACTCATCCTTCCTTTGACGCCAGGGACAACCTGCATTGCCCGTGTTGAAGCTGTCGGCGCCGATGCAACGTCCCTCAACCCCGGCGATATTGTGTGGGTCGATGCTACCATCCTTGGTCGAGATAATCCTGACAATCAAATTCTCCTCGCTCTACATGGCGGCTCCAATGCTGGATCTCAGAAACTAATGGCTGATGTTTGGAGGAATGGATGCTGTGGAGAGAAAACCCTCGTTCCCCTCGAGAACTGTCACGTCCTCCCAGAATCACTGTTCAAGACCAAGGAAGAAGGTGGCATGGGATATCACTTTAAAGACCTGTCCACCCTAAGCACCGTTTTAGTCCCATATGGAGGCCTTGAATCCGCAGGTGTTGGCGCAGGCACTACCGTCATCGTCGCTCCCGCAACCGGAAAATTTTCGGGGGGCGCCGTCTTAGCTGCCCTCGCCATGGGCGCGAAAGTAATAGCCGCTGGTCGCAACGAAGCTGGGCTCCAGAAGCTCTTTAACTTCCCCGGTGCAAAGGAGCGTCTCACCACCGTCAAACTCCAAAGTGACGTCGAAAAGGACGCCGCCTCTCTCCTCGCTGCAACAGGTGGCAAAGGCGCGCACGTCTACATCGACCTCTCACCACCCGCTGCCTCGGGACCGACTACCGCCTCTCACATCAAATCCAGTATTCTCGCACTCCGCCGAAATGGCCAAGCGGTCATGATGGGAGGCGTAACTTCGAATATTGAGCTCAATTATGGGCTGCTGATGTTCCAGAATATATCTGTGAGGGGTCAGTTTATGTACGACCGGAGGCAGATTGAGCAATTCATCCAAATGCTGGAGAATGGAAATTTGATTTTGGGGGAAAGCGTGGGGTTGACGGTTGCGGGAAGTTTTCCGATGGAGAAGGCGGAGGAGGCGTTGGATTTGGCGGAAAAGGGGACGGGGTGGGGGAATGATGTTTTGGTGGCGCCAAATGGGGAGGAGGGGATTTGAAAATATGTTTTAAGCATGATGTTGTGCAGCCCGTCGTTTTGTATAAACTCGATTGACTATTCTTGATTCTCTTGAAACCGATTATGTTAGGAATAGGCACGTGATAACCAGTCTAAATGCGGTCTAGGCTTTTTCTGGACCTATCGATCTGCACTCTACTCGTTCTTCCCGTTCTACCATCCTATTTTCATCATCTTTCCACTCTTCTTCGCAGCCTTCATTAGATCATCCGTGCTTTTCAGTTCATTTACATTCCCCAACGGTCGATGTCGCCGCAGTCCGTGTGCAGAAAGCCACAATGCCGTATCTCGTATTCATTCTTGACGCCACACGCGGGGACGCGAGAGGGATGATAACTCTTGCACTTTGATACCAGCTGATGACGAAGCTTCTATACAGATGAATGCGAAGCTTGTCTTGAAGCTTGTCGTATAGGCTTCAGCTTCATCCCCATTGCTGTAGCCGCGATTGCGACAGACGTGAGACGCGTCCTTCTTTTGCACTCAGGTGTGTATAAATGATAAGGCTCAGGTTGCAGAGATGAGACTCACATCCCCTTCTTTCAGCTATTTTCGAAAGTTATTTCTCCCTCACAGGCCGCTTACTCGACCTCCAACTTGAGGATATCTAGCGCAGGGCCTTTTGTCTGCCTCTCGGCCTCTTACTTCTGACTGTCGGTTGGGCCAATTTGCCTATCAAAGATGCCTCTCAACCATGCTATCATCATTGGCGGCGGCATTGCTGGCGCCGCATCGGCCCTTGCACTCACAAAATGCAACGATATGACATGCTCTGTCTTCGAAATTAGATCAGAACCCGCAACAATCGGCGGCGCAATCAACCTGACGCCGAATGCTTTACGATACCTTGAGTATCTTGGGGTTCTTTCAAGACTCAAGCCAAAGGGATGCGAAGTCAGGTTCATCGATATCATCTCTCACCGGACAGGCCAAAGCCTTGGAAAGCTGAATTTTGATAACCTTCCGAAATTCAAGCATCGCGCTATCCGAGTTGTCCGAAACGACCTCCTACAATGCATGTTGGAAACACTCAGAGAAGCTGGAGTGGAAGTCCAGTACGGAATGAGAATCGATTCGGTCGAGGAAAGAGAGCAAAAAATCGCCGCTACATTCGAAAATGGTACCCGTATTGAAGGCGACATCTTGCTTGGGTGTGACGGTGTCCACTCAGCTATTAGGAGAAAGTTCATCCAACCTGATCGAATTGCCGAGTACACCGGTGTCGCCACTGCATACGGCCTTTTGGACGCGACACGGCTGGACAATCCCGTTCGGATTGAATCTTCGTCTCTTTTCTCGGGCCAGCACGGCTCCGCGATCCTATCATACACGAACCTTGAGAAGTCACGATTATTCTTCGCTGCAGCCATGGCGGCTGAGGACCTTGGCAGTAAAGAAGGCTGGGTTCTCAGAGGCCATGACCAAGAGGTTCTCAAGGAAGACCTTTTACGGCGATTCTCAAGCCCCGCTGTGCCGTTCCTTGCTGAGATCATAGGTATAACAGAGCACCTCACTCTTTACCCCGTTCACAGGCTTTCGCCGAATGGAGTCTGGAGCTCGGGGCGGGTGTTGTTGCTTGGAGACGCTGCGCATGCCGTACAGAGCCTTTTCTTTCTTCGCTTGACTTTTGTTACTAACAACTGCTAGATGCCACCCCAGGGAGAGAGTGCTGGTTTTGCTCTTGAGGATGCCATTCTGCTATCACGTATTCTCGAACATCACCAGAGCAAGTCAATTGCAGAGTTATTCGATCGATACGAACAGCTTCGACGACCGCGAATCAACGCAGCTGTCAAAGAAGCGAACTTAAGATTTGAAACCATTAGGGACCGCGGTTGGCTCACCACAATCATCGTAGAGTGGATGACGTGGGCTTTTCTCAGTTGGACGGCATCACGAAAGGAGCAGGAGTTTGCGTATGATGTTCGAGACCTCGACTTGAAGTTTTGAGGTAACAAAGTCTGATGTTTTTCCGTTGGTCTATTCCACTTTTCTTCCCAGCTGCTCAGTTCCGGCATGGGCGCCATGGCTTTTCGACCTAGTTGTACACATCACCGTGCAGATCTTACTCCGTGGGATCGCCATTATCCTCGTCACCCTCTCCTGTGTTAACACCAATTTCATAATATTCATGGCAGTCTAGCATAGCAGGGCGAAGGCTCGGTCGATCGTCCCGTTTCTCTCGCTTACTATCTAAGAACGCTTTTTATTTCTCCTTTCAATGTGTCTAGACATGGCCGATCATCTGCTTATACGATAAACATCTTCTGACTAAATCCTTCAATTCCTTCCCATTGCCGAATGACTCTCAAAACAAGCTCGCGTACTTACGCTTTTTTATCATCAGTCGGTAGCATCGATGATGGACGAGGTTTTTGCGTGCTTCTGTGCTATCTTCGGCTAAAAGCTGGTGAATCTGAATTTCGCGCGGAAGCTTGTCAATCTACGTGAGTGGGTAGCGAAAATACGAATGAGATGCAGTTCCGCTTTCCATGAGGCAATTCGCTATGATGAAGTCACTTAACTATCTGGTACCTAAGTCTCGAATCGAAATGGAAATATGAGGGCTTACGTCTATCGCATTGTTGGACTCGTCAACCTCTATCCACAAGCTAGCTTTTCCCTAAGCTCCTCCCCCTAGCAGCCTCACTACCTTTCACTCACTCCCCTCTAAGTTTAGTCAGGCTCTCTCTTCCACCACGACATCGATAACTTCTAGATCCTTAGGCCACAGAGTATCGGGACAGGGTGGAGACGGGATGCTGGCGGAAGTGGAAGAGTCGCAACAGGACGAGGTGACGGTGGTGTGGGCCCTGGCGGTGGTGGAGCAGGTGGAACAAGTGCAATAGCCACACCCGGATTAGCCGCGGTCTGGAGCTGTGGTGGCCCAGGAATCGTCATTCCAGCACCTTGCAGCAAAGTTCGAACCTGTAGATTGCCCTGTGAATTCGCCTGCTCCACTTGCGCTTTCCTCAACGATTGCTGAGGCACTAGGGTCTCTGGAGCAGCAGGCAGAGTCCAGGATTTTGATCCTGCAACTATTTGCCACGGGCCTTCGTTCCAGATACTTGCTGCCCAGAGTGCCGTCACGGTGTCGTGGATTTGTGCTACGATTTGTTAGTCTCTTGGATCTCGTCCACGCCAATCGAAATACCTTTGGTCCATAGAGCTACTGCACCCGGGAGACTATGGACCGCTTTGATCGCATCGCACATAGACTTATTGAAATATGCCCATGCACTTTTGTAAGGTGGAGGCAGTACGGGGAGATGGTAGAGCCGATTTTAGCGTTTCACTAGCTGAGATCAGAGACGCAAGGACTGGGTATCACGAAGCAGCAAGGTGAGCATATTTATCAGTGCCGACATTGTCTCAGTGAATCACGGATTTGGCTTCTTCAAAAGATTTTCAAGATTCAAGACAAAGTAACGCCGGAAACGGATTGTTCTGGTTACTTTTTCGGCGAAGATGTTGACAAAGCGTGATTCGGGACGAGGGCTGCTTTGTTCTTTACAACACTTAATCGCTCTGAGCAACTTCACATGCTGTTGGGGGACAAGCAATAGATCCTACTCTATTGTTTGAGGTGTAGGTGCCTGTGTAGGGCGGGGGGAAGGGTACATGTGGCGGACCTGCTTTCTCTCCGTCCCTGTTGCACTTTTATGGATTGATCTATATTTATATATCTGCTTCTAGCTTCACAATGTTCATTCATTCCAACACTTTCACCTCTATCTGGTACATCCACCCAATTCCTCACAATCAGTTGATAAGCCGTGAACGTTCTCGCCAAAGAGATGAAGGGACAAAACCAGCAATTCATCGCTTAGCTCTTATCCCATCATTTCTGTGTACGAGTAACTGACGGGACGTGGTATGGCCATAACTCAATTTTTTTGTACAGTTCTAGACATCATGGACTCTAAGCTCTGTGTACACGACTTCTCTCAGATAAACGAGAGGGTAAGTACTGCCTCGCTTTGCCCGAGCATTCTTATAATACCTAACCCCGGACAGAAGAGGGATCCCAAAATGTTCAGTTGTATCCGAAAACCCTTTGTAAGCCTTCCATACCAATACCCCCAGATTTTGTATGAACTGCCAAAGCGTAATGTAGGGTTGCGACAGAAGTTTGAAAAAATTGCAGTGGATACTGTACACACCACCGAAACAAGACAAGCATTTCAATCTCCCTCACTTACCCACTCGTCTCACCTCTCCAGCCGAATCATGCTCACACCACGCTTCCTCCTCCTTCTTCTCCCTCAACACTTCCTCACTTCCCTCTCTTTCCACCGCCTCCCCTACCCCATCCCCTCCACCAATTACATCCTCCCCGCCTCTCTCTAGCCGCCCCTCGATCTCCGGATTCGCGCCGACAACACACACTCTCTCTCCTTCCCACTCATCTGCTCCAGACTCGGCACCATCCACTTCGCACACTCCCATGGCTTCACCCCCAACAAATACATCGTATCAACCTCCTCCAACGTCCTCCCCTGCCCCTCAGTCACAAAAACATAAACCCCAATCCCAGCCAGCACATTACACCCCGCAAAAACATACCCATACCGAAAATCAATGGCGCCTGCAATAAACAGAATAAAAAAGCAATCAAAAAGTTCCACAGCTAATTACTCGCAGTACAAAGCGCCATTGATTTGACCCGATACCTGCTGGGATAGATTTCTCGGCAGATGGCCCAGATCATGGGGCCCCAGGCTGTGGCGAAGCCGAAGATGAAGAAACAGGAGAAGCAGATCATAGCGACTGAGGGGTGCGGGGTGTTAGAGGGTGTTTGACGGTCGAGAGAGAGGTGCCCAACGGAGGCGAAGATCAGGAAGCAGATGAACATCCAGATAGAGCCGGCGATAAGGGATTTACGGCGTCCATAGTGTTCGATATGTAAAGGCCGTAGAAGGCAACGCCGAAGTTGATTTCATTCTCAAAGGTGTTAGTGGTGGAGAAGTGGGGAAAGGAGGAGAAAAGGGGGCTGGCCTTACGAGGATCATCTGGGTTACGAAGGAGTTGTTGATGCCAGTGCAAGTAAAGATAGTGGTGCCGTAGTAAAAGAAGTAGTTCGCACTGGTGTCGTTAGGATTGGATATATTATACACCAACAAGCCCCACTCACCCTGTAAGTTGCTGGAGCATCTGCAATCCCCTGCCTAGTGCAAGCTGATATGCCATCTTCGGAGCCTTCCACATATTGATCCATTCCTGTACTGCCTTCCCTTTCGTCTCTTCCGCCTGCAATTTCACTCTGATTTCCTCCAATTCCGTAACCACACTATAGTGATTATCACTTACGCCATACACTTTTGTCATTACCGCCTTGGCCTTTTTGGGATTGCCTTTGCGGTATACAATAGGTGTCTTGGAGGCGAAGAAGATCCCGCCGCTGAGAACAACAGCGAAGATAAACGACAAACCCATCGTGATCTGCCAGGTTGCTGCCCTGCTAGATTGATGCCGTTCAGCAGCATTGTTAAGTACTGCAGCTAGGGAGATACCAAAAGTGATCATGAGTTGGTAGATCGAGATCAGCGCGCCTCGGATATGTGTTGGTGTGTTGCATATAGAGGCTGCGTGATCATGCAGCTACGTTAGAAGAGGATAAAATGAAGTTAATTGTCCTAGTCTAATTGCTCTGCTGCAGAGTATTTATTTACATCTATAACAGCAGAGACAGTAAGACCTATAGTAATAGCAGTAGAGGCTATATTAAAGGTAGTAGGGGCTATAGTAAAGGCAGTAAAAACTGTTGTAGCTTAGGGAAGAAAGATTCCTATATTAGAATTGCAACACACCCTCTTCAATAGCTTATGCAATGCAGTATCTATATACTATATACTATGCAATACTCTCCTTATTAATTATTTTTATCAAGTAGTAACGTAAGTTATTACTAAGCTAGATAAAATCTCTTAGCGTAACTAACACTATATATAAAACATAATACTTAAATAATACAATCCTAGGTTAACTTAATTAAAAAGTAAAATTATTCTTATACTTAAAGGCTACTACTTACACTAATTTAAGTGTGTATAATATACTACTAAATATAGCTAATAGTATACTATTTTAGTAGCTTTTTAATTAGCTTTATAAATTTATATTTTAATATTAAATATAATAAAATATCTTTACGCTTACTATAACTAGATAGTAAGTAATTATATAATATATTTTTTAACTTTAATTTATAAGAATTTACACTTTAGCTATAGTTAATAAAAAGAATCTTTATAACTTTAATAACACTAGCTTTTAAAAAGCGTATTTTATAGGTAAGTAGACTCTACAAGTAAATAGTCTACTTGTGAGAGCACTGTGAAGTAGGAAGCATAAAGCGCAGAAGAGGGTACAGGATAGTATTAATAGACAAATCCTTGAGGAGACTTAGGGGTTTGTGAGAGGATATATATATATGTGCTAGGGCACGTGACAGGACGTTATGTGCCTAAGGCTAGGCTAAGGGCTCTCTAGAGAGAGTCTAAGACATGTCTAAGTTAACTCTAACATAGCCTCTTTTTGTCAGATTGAAGCACTGTTTCTGGGCTTCCTGAGATGAATGATGGGTTTGGATATGATGTATGGGATGATGATTGATTGTATTGATTTATCGATCCTTTTTCTGCTCTACTCGTGTTGCTCGGCTTTTGTTTTTCCGATCCGAGTCCCTCGCGCACTAGCCCTATGCGCGACCAGCTTGCAACATGCTGCAATTTGTTGCAGAATATTGCAAAATGCTGCAACATGCTGCAATTTGCTGCAAAATGCTGCAAAATGCTGCAAAATGCTGCAACTTGCAGCAAAATACTGTTCGAGCTTATTGCTCGTACTATGTAGCAGCTTTCGTCAAGCGTTCCTCCTGTCTTGACAGTAGGTGCGCATATCTGACACTTTTCTTTTATAGGTTGTCCTTAATCCTGTAATTAAATACGTAGAATATTATAGTAAATAATCTAACGGCAAGCCTGCATCCGGAAAGGGACGCACCCCGTTTAGGTAATCCGGGCCTTGCTTACGACTTTGCGCTACGCCTAAACTAGGAATCAGCTTCGACGTCCCATTATAAAAGGTCTCTACGCCACCGTCATTTTCCCTCCCTCCCTACGACCTTTTCTCTCTACTCCTATCCCTCCGTCCTGCGACCCCCCTTCCACCCTTTACCTATGCCGACCGCTCTCATTACGTCTCAGTGGATCCCCCGTGAGGCTTTTTTCGAACCCGCCGCCGCGGCGCATCAATGGTACTGCCTCCCCCTTCCCTATCATTTCACCATGATTCGGACAGCACCATCCGGAATTTCGTATCTCAACGATTGCGGCCGCTGAATCCAATTCTCGTCTCGCATTCGCACGCAGTTGGTGACCCTCCTGGCTGTCCCTTCTCGTGCTCTCGCGCAACCCTCACTTCTCTAGCTATCGCGTAGCCGCCCCAGCATGAACGCCCCCCCTGCTTCGGAGTCGCCGGTGGCATTCAATGCACTATCTTTTCCCCCGCCTTCGAAGGCGTACCGCTCACGCCATTGTCTCAGCTCGGATGCATTAACTTAGTTCTAAATTATCTAAAGACATATTACATAGAAAGCCTAGTTGTTTAAGCAAGCTTAGTACTTAGTAATATTAGTTTAGTACTATATGTTAGCCTTTTTTAGAGAGTTCTTAGTAGTAATTACTCTAAGTGTATGCATTTTTAGAGCGCTGTCTATAGGATTTAGAGCGTCTAGTCTATCTAGATTAATTACGTCTTATAGGTTTTTGCTAAGAGCATAGAACTAGAGCTTGTAACGAGGTCGGCACAGTCAACCACGTGACCTTCTCTCGCTTATAGAGGTTTAGGCTAGGCTAGAGACAACTGCTAGTGCTAGTGCTTACCCTAGCATTACCTATATATATATTATACTATGCGAGAATACTTAGCTTAAGTATTCTCGTGCGTACCTTTTAGTACAGTGGGGAAAGTCGTATAGTATCGGCTTGGCAGGCGGGGCGCCTACCTCATTACAGAGCTAGATAAACTAGAGAGGCCAGCTTGTGTAGTCCTTAAGCTAGTACGCTTCTGTTAGGAGAGGAGTATCTTAATTAGCTATAACATAGGCTTTAAAGGTAATAAAAATAAGTAAAGATAAAAAATAAAGCTTCTAAACAGCTTTTACTAGCGCTATAGTTATATAAGAAGAATTATCCTAGGTTTTTAAAGCGCTAGGCTTATAACTATAGAGGATAAAATAGCCTAGCAGTAGCTGTTTAGAAGATTAGATAAAGTAACTCTGCTATCTAAGAGAGCTAAAGGCTCTCCTTATATACACTAATCTTCGGAACATAATATCTCCAGATCCCGAGCTGCGTCCCAGGCTCTAAGCCCTAGTCCCAGGCTCCGAGCCCTAGCCAAGGCTCTTAGTATACGCGACATATAGTTATACTTAAACTTTATTTTAAGCTTTAAGTAACACTTAATAAATATATTAAGCTAGTTTATGCTAATATAGCTTATATTATACTTAGTATATAAAGAATTAGCTATATTAGCTATAGCTACTAGCTAAAATGAAAATTCTTACATATTTAGCTTAAGTATATGCTAAATAATTACCTACTTTTTATTATTATCTAGCTTTTATAAGTTAGCTATATAATTAGCTTAGAAAAGTTATTTAGTATATTAGTTACTTATTATTTTTTTAAAAAGCTTTATAAATAGCTATTGTGTATTACTTAAAAAGTATTATGTTTTATTTAAAAGCTTAAAGTATAAGCTACATTTAATTTTTTTAACACATTTAAGTAGTGTTATTAGAAATGCATTAGTGTAGAAAGAGTAGTGTAGTAAAGTCTTAGTAAAAGTAAGTAACTTAGGTGTGTAAGTGTGAGAGGTATCGAGCAGGAAACACAGGTCACAGAGAGGGAATGCAGGATAGGGGTGGGGTAACGAGAGTAAACCTTAGGGTCGGAGGCAGAGGTACGGAGGCCGAGGAGCCTATATACCCCGTGCCAAGCCCTTAGGGTACTCAGGGGTTGGATAGCTGTAACATAACCGTGACAGTAAGCAACTTGCCTGTAAAGTACGTTATAGCGTTTCTAGTGCTTTTAGCTAATAAGGTAAGCTTTATACTTTATATTACACTACTTATTTTAGCAAATGTTGTATAGTTTTAGAAAACCTATTTAATTAAATTTTATAGTTTTAATATTTAAACGCTTTTTTAATTTTATTTATAGTTATTTTTACTTCTACTAGTTAGAAGATAAAGTATTGCTAAAGTGTAAAAGAACAACAAGTAGAAAGTATAGAAAAAAGTATAGAATAGTAGAAATAAATAAATTATTAAAAAGACTTAAAAAGTTTAAAAAGAATATTATATGCTTAAATCTAAGCTAAAAGCTTGTTTAAAAAAAAGTTTAAAGTGTATTTTAATTAACTAGTTATAGCAATAGTGCCTTTGTAGAAGTTTGTGTACACCTTTTTACAAAACAAAAATCGCGTTGTTTTTGTATCAACTAGTATACAGGTAGGGATTATACAGACTAAATACACATTTTTTCTTCTAATACTTTGTTTGCTAGCTCTAGGCCTTAATAACAGCCTAGATTCTCTTAGGTACACTTTTAATAAAATTATTAACTATAGTGTAGAGGATCTTCTTTTAGGTGTTTTATATATAGTTAATAACCTTTTTTTTCTTAATTACTCTAAATTTTTAAGATTTAAGTAGAGCTTAACAACCTTCTACTTTAGAATCTACTAGAGATGTTTAATAGAGTTAAGGTTTAGAAAGTATAAAAGCTAGTTAATTATTTTAACTTTATATATTACTAACTAGTTGTAAGTTGCTTAAAAAGTATAAATTAAAGTATTATTTATCTAAAATAACAAGCTATTAGACTTTTAATTTTTATTTATTATCTTAAAGCTAAACTCTAGTGTTAGGCAAGGTGTTAACATAAAATTAAGCGTTTATAAAGTTTCTAAACTCTAAAAGCTTTTATTATTTTTAATAGTATAGATTTTCTAAGATTTATCCATAACACTTTTCCAGCCTTAATAATAAATATAACGTATTTTATTAATCTAGCTGCATACTTGCAGTTATTTATATCTATATGTAGTTAAGCCTCTTGTAGTTAGCTAAGAACCTTATTAGTTTAGTTTTAATACTAACTTAAAATACTCTCTGTATAGATAAGTATGTTTTCTACGTATGCGGTACGGAAGTTCTTTAGTAATTCTTGGAGTGTCTAGTTAATGTAGTGCTAAAACGTACTTAGAGGGTTAGCTATGCTAAAGAGGGTAACTAGCTGCTCTCTAGATTAGGGCTAGTATGTACTAGGTTTTGCACGTCATCAAATGATCCAACGAACGTGGAAGCTGCGAGTAAAATTTCACCAATTACTTGTACATTTCCAATGCCTAATTCAAGGGTACCAACAAATAATCAATAACAAGTTATAGCAACAGCACAATCGGCAAGAATTTAACTACACAGTGGCACTCCCGCCGAACAATCACACCCAAGAGGACAATTCGGATCCGGCGGTGCATCGCACAGGACCTGTTCACCAAAGCACGTGCAGCCGGACGGACACACAAATCCGCTACTGCTTGTTGGTTCCTGTGCAGACTGCGATGCTGATGGGCTGACTGAAGTTATCAGCGTCGTGATGCTCTTTATAATAGTCGAGCTCCGAACGCTAATCGGTTTCGTACGGCTGCGTGATGTTGACACCTTCACCGTTGGTACCGATGTCGGTACTGTAGATGTCTTGCTGACTATAGTAGCACGATCTTCGGACTCCCACGACGAGACCATCGCATCAATCGCCGACGCGACGCTGTCTGCTTTCTCCTCGTCATATTCGTCCATAGTTTCCCAATCATATGGCTTAGGCCCTCCGGTATACCATGGCGCAAACGTCAGAGTTCCGGAACCGCCACAAGCAGTGCCAGTGCAGGTTGCTGAGCACCCAGTTGCGACGGCGGTGCAGGATGTCGTACAACTCCCGCCGGCGCAAAAGGTATTGCATGCGCTCGCCGTTCGTACGGAACACGAACTTGACGATGAGGAAGTGGAAGAGGAAGAGAAGGATGTAGTTCGGGAGGGATTTCCGGAGGATGGCTTGGAGGTTTCATTTGGATCATTTGGATCATTTGGATCATTTGGATCATTCGGATCATTCGGATCGTTTGGATCGTTTGGATCGTTTGGATCATTTGGATCATTTGGATCATTTGGATCGTTTGGATCATTCGGATCGTTTGGATCGTTTGGATCGTTTGGATCACTCGGATCATTTGGATCACTCGGATTCCCAGTAGGCTTAGGCGGCGTCCCCGGCGGATTCGGTGTCGGAACACCATTCGGGCCTATAACAATAGGCGGTATGCCCGGCGGATAGTATACTCCAGGCGCAGGACCAATATTGAAAATGATTTCGTACTCCTGTCCCCCGCCACAGAATATCAGGCATGGGAATAGAACAATTATGGGTGTTTCCTTTCCATCTTGGCCTCGAGTAGTTGTAGCCACATTTGTTGTCACGCCAATAATGGTGCTCGTTGTGAGGGTTGATAGCGAAGGGAAGGCAGTTATTTGGGGTAGGCCAGAGTAGATGCCCGAAGAGATGACCGGAGGAGGCATTGGGGTGGTCGTGGTTGAGGACGCTGATGCTTTTGTGCTAGGAGCGGGGTTACCATTGTTACTGCCGCTACTACTGCCACTTCTACTGCTACTGCTTCTGCTTGTATTAGAAGGACCTGGTCGGTTTGATGAAGCGGAGGCGGTTGTTACCAAGCTGGAGGTTGCTATTGCAGTGGACCCAGAAGAGGAAGTGATGCTGGATGGCGTACCACTATCTCGGGTTGAAGGAGGAGCACCCGAAGTGGAGACGGTAGAAACACTGGACGTGAATGAGATGAGCGTATTCTTAGAAGTAGATGTAAGGCTCCCCGGCACCAACTGGCTGGTTGAACCAGAGGACCCAGAAGAGGAAGAGGAAGCGATGCCAGATAGCGTACCACCATTCGAAGTTGAAGAAGGAGCACCTGAAGTGGAGACGGTAGAAACACTGGACGTGAATGAGATGAGCGTATTCTTAGAAGTAGATGTAAGGCTCCCCGGCACTAAATGGCTGGATGAACCAGAAGATAAAAGTGATGTAGTGCTGGGCTTGGAGACAATGGACGACGAGGAAGCAATGGCCGAAGATTTGGTTGATGCTACTGAGGAGATAATGGACGAGGACTGGGTGGGGTGGATCAGAGAGGGTGTCGAGCCTATTACCGAGTTCGGGGCAGATGAAGACAGACTTGGAACAATCGTAGCCCTGGTGCTATCAGATGCCAGGGAACCGAAGGTTTTAGTAGAGCTTCTAAGGGAGCTCGGCGCGATTGAGCTGAGTTTTGACGTGATTGCTGTGCTAGATCTCAAGTCCGTACTACCTGCGGGGAGGGTAGTGACGGCTGAAGAGACGTCGGGAAGTGAGGTCCCTGTTCTCGAGACAGATGCTGTACTACTCCCTGGCACGATCGTGTGAGACGATGCGGTAATTGTTGTCTTTCTCAGGCTCGATTTAAGTGAACTGGGAGGCGAGGGTTTTGGAACGACCACAGAACTCAGAGTAGAGAGAGAGTTACTCTGGTAAGTTGATTGGGGCGGGTGCATGATAGAGCTCCCTGTTGGAGCTTGGGTGCCTCCTGAAGTGCTCACAGGAGAATTGGATGAAGCAGTACTGACTGACAAACTAAGCGATAAGGTCGAACTGCTCGTCTTGGTTGATGTCAACGTCTGCGGCCCATGGCAAGTAGTTCCGCTCTTGGTTGTCACGGGCGGTTGGGGTGGAACCGTGGGCATGGGCTGAAAAACCAAAGAGCCGGACTCCGTTCGAACCCAGACTAAAGGTCACCTTAGTTGAAATTAAGCATTACTCTAGGATCTGTTCATACCTTGGCCTAATTCACCGATAGGCACGGTCATTTGTCCGCCGTCGGCACCGGTGGTAGTGATTGTGGTCCCTGCCGACGGCAAACCCCCATACTCGAGGAGAAAAGATGCAACGAATGTTACCTTAGAATTTGATATAGTGAGGACAGTCTGGGAAGGTATCATTCCAGGTGTTCCAAAAGACGTGCAAGATGACTTTTGAGACCGAATGGAATTTTCATGAAGGCAAAGATTGTAGGCCTGTTGGTTCAATATGGAGGTTTGAACTGCGTTCGAGGCAGGGACATTGCCATAACTGCCCTTGAACAGAAACAGAAAATAAGTAAGGACTGAAGGGTGGAAGAGTCGTCCCATTGCGGTGGTTTTTTGGACCTAGAGAAGAGAGAGCTCTGGATAACTGACCGACAAGGCCTGGGAATCGCATTATATCTGGGGAAGCATAGGGCTCGAAATTTCTTTAGCCTCCACTGCTGGATCCAGGAATGTGTACTTTCATTTCCCGTCCGAAACATGCACTACGCTAACAAGAGAGTGCATGGAGTAAGAGTTTATGAATTTGTAACTGTAATTGGGGATGATGTAGGGATGCTTTAGGATTGATAGGTTCCTGCACTTTCCAAACCGATGAAGGAACGCTGACTCCATGGGTATCTGGCCACTGTTTAGTCGGAAAACCCCAGGGCGTTGAAGAATTTCCGTCGACGCCAGGAACGGGCGAATACCTTTGTATAATCCACAGGTGGTTAGACCATCCGTCGGTGGCAGTACACACAAAACGCGAACCACACGTTTCGTGGCTAGCTCTTTATTCCTAATTTCCTTTAAGTTGCGTTGGTCCATAAGATGATTTTGTGGTTCTCGCACGAGTGGCTATGGGGCTGAGAGTTGATGAGAATAGAAAAATCTGTCAGCTTCTTGGTAGCTTACCCACCCACAGGCCTAGCGCGGCTCATAGCTTGTGTGTGCCCATATTTACGAAATTACTTGGTACCATTCTTGTATGCACAGGATCTATAGCTACGCCTCCTCCTCGAATTTGATTAATACTTAGTGGCGTTTCTCTCTAGGCCTAAATTTAAATCAAGCTTATTGATTCGCGCCTTTCAAGTTTGAAGGCTTCTCTTACTTCACTTTACACCCTTCGACTCGACAATTTCCTTACTCCTCAGGGCGACTTCACGGAGATTGGCAGCTCACCATGGAGGACGCCCCAATCCTAACAGTCATCTGTTTCGAGTTTCGAAAACAAAAATGGGCATAGACGTGTTGTATTCACACAGCACTACCACACAGCTAGGTGCGTTAAATAGTGGCTATTCCCTTCTCACTCCAAGCGCTGGCTGTACTCCCTAATCACTGGTAACCTGACCTTTGTCTTAATTGACGATTCCACTGCCATGAGGGTCAATACATTGCTTCAAAAGAGATATGGTATTACACTTCTTTTACTATTCCTCGCATGGCTTCCCGCAGTCTATGGTAGCATCTCACTGGGTGATCTATTCCGCGTTAAGACGGGAACAACTGTTGGGGGGGCGGATGGTCACACAGATGTGCTTCAATCGTACGAACACCAATACTAAAATGCAATCTAGGTAAGCTAATTGACTACAGGTGGTTGGACGATACTGTGACCTTGGTCGACTTCATCTTGCCAAACTTGCCGGAAGATGCAAGCCTGGTGGATGGTCGCGACCGAGAACTTAAGCGCAACCTCAAATCATGGTTCGACATTCGGCTCAGAACGAACGGAGGTATCCACCCGGACGACGATGAAGCATACAAGACCGTGAGAGGTTCGTGTACCGCTGTTCTGAGACCAGATATATTTACTGAACGTCAACCTGAGCTGCTTAGACATATTCTTGAACCTTGACGACTTCTTGAAGCAAAAGAATCCCGCTTGGACCCAGGCCCACTTGAAACCATGGCTATTTGTCAACAGCGATTGGCAGGTGGAGACCGAATTATATTTTGATGGCAACGGAAACCCTATTGACGAGGACGGCAAAGTTATTCCTCCTAACACCCCTAACCCATCGCCACCGCAAGCGAACTTGCGGACTTGGACACCACCGAACATGGGACAGTTAGATCCAGATACCCAAGGGATATTTGTTGATATGAAGAAGGGATCAGGGCCAGACAACTGTTTGTACTCTTCTGACTGTTATGAAATAATTTGCTAATACAATTTCAAGGGGACGAGTATGCATATTGGTCGAGCGACCTGAGAGATTATCAATTAATTAAGAAGAGCGAGCGCCGCCACGCCGGGGGATTCTGCATTGAGCCCGGCCAGGATTTCTTTGCACTTACTATTGGGAATATGTACGCCGATTCCATAACGATATGTCCAGATGCCTTTACAAATAAGGCAGAGCTGCACGAGACTATTGCAGTCGGGATAAATTCCCCAGCGGCCAAGGATGGGAGACTGGGAACCCCACTACAAGATACATCGCCAAGGTCATTGACATTGTTCCACGAGTTGATCCACATGACCAGTGACCCAGACAAAACGCCGGACTCAGCAAGTAAGTTCGCAGTTATCCTTATGCTTGCTAGCGAAGAAACTCATTTTTTGTAGCCAAACCAACTCTTTGCTTAGACCTTGTTAAGATCCGCAAAGCAGAAGAAGCAAGAACCAATCCCGACAGCCTTGTATTCTTTGTATGGTCCTATTACTTGGGCAGCAAAGGAGATCCACCATACCGATGGAACACGGGTAAATTAGTAAAGCCTTAGGGTACGCATGTAGTACCGGGTTAGAAAAATGAGGTATTGGCGCTTTATATTTTCTTAGTTTTGTAGGAGATTGCAGTTATAACCGTCTCGTTCTTCTGTTTCCAGCTCTTCCTCCGAATTGCCTCCTACTCAGAATCATCGCCGCCCTCATTTGGGGGGTAATTGCTCGGATCTCGATAGTAATTCGGAAGCTCCACAAGTTTGCAGTGAAACTCTTTGATACCCAGCAAGCCTGCGTCCTTCAACTGCTCCATCATGTGATCGTAGAGCGTCAGATAGCGTGAATCCGGACTGACCGTAATCCCCGCTGAAGCCTTGAACTCCCTCTCGCTCTCGTCGCTCTTCCAAAAATGCATGAAGCGCAATACAGCCGCCTCCTGGCCTGCAAAATCCCTGGTCCCATGAACCCAGCCACGTGTCGGGCGGGATGTGTATGCTGACGGACGAGACCCACCGGGAGCGAAATGGTAAACTAGTCCACGGGCTTGATCAGCGTTTGCTTTAGACTCTTTGGAGATGGTAGGTGGGAAGAAGGCATCGATGACATCGATCTTCTCGCCAAGGTGGTTCCAGAAGAAGGACCAGATATCACAGTGATGTGTCTTCAACGCGGTGCAGCTGAGCTGTGAGTGCTCTTCACGCTGTAGCCGATAGTCCTCGGACCTTTCGAACACGTCTAGAGCGGCCTGCGACTCCCACGCTGGAGCAGATCAGCGAGTTGGTTAGTCGCCGTGCGATCAGGAAAGCCAAACCTGTGATATACCACACTGTTTCTGGAAATTCGATTGTGCGGCCGAAGAAGGCCTTTCTGAAGCCAGGCGTTTTTGCTGGATTGTGATAGGTAGTGAGCGAGAGCCATTTCTTCCCGTCTGAGGAGTTCCTGTCTTCGATCGTGTTGCAGAGAGGAATCTGCAGTTCTGTCCAGGAGGTCACAACTGGACCTGGTTTACGCAAAGACGAGTCGGGCATGCTTGGGTGGCTGCAGAAAACTTGTGGAGGTGGGTTCACTTTACGTTTTGCGGATCTTTCAGGGATAGCCGTCCTTAAATGTATTGCTGACGGTTGTGGCACAGCAGGACAAAGAGAGTGGAAGATAGATGACGTAAGGTGATCTCACATCTCAAACAGCGGCCGACAGCGTTGAGAGTGAAGAATCCGGACGGGTCGTTTCCTTTGAAGACAATCTTGTTGCGCGATGGGCATCATGATGGGGGTCGGAACGAACGGCCCCGACTAAGATTCGCATTTAACACGCTATTTTCGAAAACGGCAGTGCTCTCTCGGTCATCTATCATCTTCAAAAATCAGTGCATTTTCTAGGAGTCATCCTCAACTTTTTTTCGCCCCCGTATTTTACTAGTTAACCTCAAAACGCGTTGTGCGGCCGCGAAATTACCCGGGTTCTAGATTATTCTAAAATATAAAGCTAACGTATTTCACAAGCAAGCAATCTACAGAAGCAAACAGTCTACCCTAACAACATTTTTATTCTTAAATTACATTTTACTCTATAACATTTATATTAATTAATTAAATAATTAAATAATTAAATAATAAAAAATATTTAATTTATAGTAACATACTTTATAGGCAAGTTGCTTACACACCTAAGTTGCTTACTTTTGCTAAGACCCTACTAAACTACTTTTCTAATACTAATACATTCTTAATAACACCACTTAAACATGCTAAAAGAATATTAAATATAGCTTATACTCTAAGCTTTTAAATAAAATATAACACTTTTAAAGTAATATGCTGCAGCTATATAAGGTTTTTTAAAAAATATAATAAATAACTAATACACTAAATAACTTTTATAAGCTAGTTTTATAGCTAACTTATAAAAGCTAGGTAATAATAAAAAGTAAGTAATTATTAAGTATATACTTAAGCTATAACGTACTTCACGGGCAAGTTGCTCACACACCTGAGTTGCTTACTTTTGCTAAGACCCTACTAAACTACCCTTCCTACACTAATGCATTCCCCACAACACTACTTAGACGCGCTAAAAGAATGTTAGATACAGCTTACACTCTAAGCTTTTAAATAAGACATAAAACTCTTAAAAAAATGTGCTATAGCTATATATAAGGTCCTATAAAAGATAATAAATAACTATAGCGCTAGACAACCTTTACAAGCTAATTCTACAGCTAAATTATAAAGGCTAGGTAATAAAAAGAAGTAGGTAATTATTAAAACTATACTTAAGCTATATGCGTAAGGAATTTCCCCTTAGATAGCATTTATAGCTAATATAGCTAATTCTTTGCGCGCTAAGCGTAATCTAGGCCATGTTTGCATAAACTAGCCTAGTATGTTTGTAAAGCGTTATTTAAAGCTTAAAGTAAAGTTTTAAGCGTAAGTATAGTTAAGAGATATCTAGCTAATTATAAACTCTATCTTACTAAAGTTGTACGTGTTATTATCCTAGATGCTATACTTAGCTTTAATATTCTCTATAAGGCTAAACCTGCTCTAAATTACTCTAGGACTCTTGTAGAAAGCTTTTTTATAGTTATACTTACGCTTAAACATTACTTTAAGCCCTAAATAACGCTTTACAAACATACTAGGCTAGTTTATGTAAACATAGCCTAGATTACGCTTAGCGTGCAAAGAATTAGCTATATTAGCTATAAATGCTATCTAAGGGGAAATTCCTTGCGCATATAGCTTAAGTATAGTCTTAATAATTACCTGCTCCTTTTTATTGCCTAGCCTCTATAATTTAGCTGTAGAATTAGCTTATAAAGGTTGTCTAGCGCTGTAGTTATTTATTATCTTTTATAAGACTCTACATATAGCTACAGCACATTTCTTTAAGAGTTTTATGTCTTGTTTAAAAGCTTAAAGTGTAAGCTGTATCTAACATTCTTTTAGCGCGTCTAAGTAGTGTTGTGGGGAATGCATTAGTGTAGGAAGAGTGGTTTAGTGGGGTCTTGGCAAAAGTAAGCGACTCGGGTGTGTGAGCAACTCGCCCGTGAAGTACGTTATGTCTGTCAGATTAAAGCACTGTTTCTAGGCTTCCTGAGATGAATGATGGGTTTGGATATGATGTATAGGATGATCATTGATTGTATTTATTTATCAATCCTTTTTCTGCTCTACTCGTGTTGCTCGGCTTTTGTTTTTCCGATCCGAGTCCCTCGCGCACTTGCCCTATGCGCGACCAGCTTGCAACATGCTGCAATTTGTTGCAGAATATTGCAAAATGCTGCAAAATGCTGTAACATGCTGCAACATGCTGCAAAATGCTGCAAAATGCTGCAACATGCAGCAATTTGCAGCAACATACTGTTCGAGCTTATTGCTCGTACTATGTAGCAGCTTTAGTCAAGCGTTCCTCCTGTCTTGACAGTAGGTGCGCATATCTGACAATGTCGCATACAGCTATCCGTCTATATATATCCTTCTGCTGTGCTAGCTAGGAGGTTGACCTTTTAGCAAACGCAACACTATATATATAAGGATTTTCCTCTTAGCTAGTAGCTATAGCTAATATAGCTAATTCTTTACACACTAAGTATAATCTAGGCTATAGTGGTATAAACTATCTTAGTATATTTATAAAGTGTTATTTAAAGCTTAAAAGTTTAAGCATAAGTATAACTATAAAAAAGCTTTTTATAAAAATTTTAAAGTAATTTAAAGCTAAGTATAGTATCTAAAATAATAACATATAACATACTTCATAGGCGAGTTGCTTACACACCTAAGTCGCTCACTTTTGCTAAGACCCCACCCCAACAAACTCTATTATAGCCTAGAACAACCTGCTCTAGCACTATATAGTACAGTACAGCCTAGAATATTATTTAGATACTACTTCTGCTTCTTGCTTACATGTTTGCGCGTTATGCCTAGTCTAATTGCACTGTCTGCAGCGCCTTTAGAATAGCTTACCTACTTTAGCTTACACCTGCTTCTTTGCCTTCTTCTTGTCACTGCGCGCTTTAAACTCCTTTAGAGCTATTAAGCGTAGGCCTTTTTAAATTATTAAGGTCTTTTCTGCCTTAATCTACTTTCTTTTATGCAATTTATGTTACATAGTAGCCTTATTAGCTGCTTAAAGCTTAGTAATTTCCTATTACACTAACACTAGCTTATCTGTAATTATTACTGCCCTTTTTAAAACCTTCTTAAACACTTTAACTATAGAAGTTAGTAAACTATTTATATGCTTCTAAATTTTTATCTTTATAAGCATTAATTATAACTTAAGTTCTAGAGTATTACTTAAAGTTTATAACTACTAGGGCTTATTATATATAAGTAGTAGTAGTAATAAAGTGCGTAACTTTATATTAAGGCTTATTATAACTTATTATAGGTTAAAAAGAACTAATCTAGCGCCTTAGAACCCTTCTTAGATATTACTAAAAGTAATTATAGCATTATAAGCTGCTTTAAAGCATAGTAGAAACTTTATTTTTATAATATAAGTAATCTAGTTACGCATAAGGTTTTTAGCTTAGCGCTTATACACCTTCTTTAAAAAAGTAAAACAACCTACATTAAGTAGCTATAGAAAGTATAATAAGTAAAAAAGTATATAAATAGTAATAATTTTATTATCTTTATAGTATTACTAGAAATAAAGTAAGTTATAGCTCTTATAGCTATTAATAACTAGCAGACAGTAGCTGCTAATAGTACACTTTTTTATATGCATATTAAAGTGCTTTAACTAGTCTAGACTAAGCTAATTAGTAGTCTAGCTATGCTTAAAGATTATAATAACTTAATTTTAAAGTAAATTTTTCTTTTTATACTAGTTTAAAAAGTAGTTGCTACTCTAGAAAATAATAAAAAGCAAAATAGCCTACTTTTTAGCATTAATGCTCTAGATAGCTGTTGTCTACTTCTAGTTACCTAGCTAGACTACTTTTAGCTGTCTTTATCTCTCTAAACCTATAATAACTACTTTAGTAGATATCTAGCCTATTATAAACTCTGTCTTATTAAAGTTATATATATTATTATTTTAAATGCTATACTTAGCTTTAATATTCTTTATAAAGTTAAACTAGCTTTAAATTACTATAAAATTTTTATAAAAAGCTTTTTTATAGTTATACTTACACTTAAACTTTACTTTAAGCTTTAAGTAACACTTAATAAATATATTAGGCTAGTTTATGCTAATATAGCCTATATTATGCTTAGCGTGTAAAGAATTAGCTATATTAGCTATAGCTGCTAGCTAAGAGGGAAATCCTTGCGCATTTAGCTTAAGTATGTGCTAAATAATTACCTGCTTTTTATTATTATCTAGCTTTTATAAGTTAGCTATATAATTAGCTTAAGAAGGTTATTTAGTGTGTTAGTTGCTTATTATCTTTTAAAAAACTCTATAAATAGCTGCAGCATGTTGCTTAAAAAGTGTTATGTCTTATTTAAAAGCCTAGAGCGTAAGCTACATTTAACATTCTTTTAATATATTTAAGTAGTATTATTAGAAATGCATTAGTGTAGAAAGAGTAGTGTAGTAGAGTCTTAGCAAAAGTAAGCAACTTAGGTGTGTAAGCAACTCGCCTATAAAGTACGTTATAACTTTAATAAAATAAGCTTTATAATAGACTAGATATTTACTAACTATACTTATACTTAAAACTTTACTTTAAGCTTTAGATAACACTTTATAAACATACTAGGCTAGTTTATGCTAATATTGTAACGATCCTTATAAATCGTTCCATCTTGAGTCGCTTAGAACCTCTGGAAGGCCCTTGTATCAGCCCCGACCTCGACCTGGCCCCGACTCTGCCCTGCCCTCTGCTGTACCCCTATTCCCTTATGTATTTAGTCGCACCTTGCCCCTGTAGCTAGCTTAGTAGTTTTCTAATATCCTTTTGTATAAGGCCTATAGGTGTTAATAGCATTCCTAGGTTCTAAGTCCCTACGCACTTCTATATGCCTCTAAGTAGATTTCTACTGTATTTAGACCTATTGTCTTGCCTATGCTATTATATTATATTAGAAAACTTACTTTTGCTAGTAACAGCTTTATTAATAATATTACACTAATTATTTATTTAACTATGTCTAAGCTTTAAGACATGTCTAATTTAGTTTAAGTTATAATACTTATACACTATTATATTAAACTATTTAGTTTATAGACTAGATCTTATTAGCCTTTAGTTAACTAAAGCTTTTAGGTTTAGAACTTTTTATTC